TATTTTCCTTCCTCCATTACATTTTTTTCTGGATGGATATGCTGATCTATTATATCCTGTTTCATATGACTTTTGTCCTTCGGCACTGGCTCCTGAGTATATATCAGTGTTTTGTGGTATGAGAAAAATATCACGATGTGCTGCATAATAATTTTCTCCTAGTTGTTCAAGATGTTTTAACGAAGTAGGTTTGTGTTCCTTCAGAAATGTGGTCATAGGTTTTGGTAATGATTCTAGCAATTTACTTCTTAATAGTAAATCAACTAACAGATCATAGTCGTTGTTAATTTTGGCTGAATCCACCCATTTCTGAAAAGTTGTCTGAACTTCGGATATATAATCAACAAATGTTTGAGTTGATTTTGGTTTTAAATCAATGAATTGCAATCTGTATCCTGCTTCTTGTAGGTCATAGTGCCTCATTATCCGGTCTTTAATATAATCAAAATCAAGTCGTAAATTTTCTGGCACTGTCTCCAGTATTTTTAACGGTTCTCCTCCAAGGTGTCTTTGGAACAGTATTGCCCAATCTTCTTTTGGAATTTTATGAAACCGAACTTGTAGTAAAAATGCTGAAATCCATGATCCAATGTCATCCTTTTCACCAAAATTCTTTATTAATCCTTTGTATTTTGTAAATTTATGTTCTTCTTCTTTAGCTCTTTCCCTTTGTGCTGCCAGTTCTGCTTTGGATTCATTATCCATTTCTTTTGTTCTTATTTGTGCTTCAACCTTTTGTCTGTCTGCCTCTATTTGTGCTGTCAACCGCTGTTGTTCAAGTTTTAACTCTTGCAATTTGATTTCTTTCTCATGGTCTAATTGCTGTTGTTTCATTGCTGCTTCATGTTGTAACTGTTTATCTTTCAGTGCTGCCTCGTGGGCGCGTGCTTCTGCTTCCTGTTGTAATTGTTTCTCTCTCAATTCTGCCTCTTGCTGTTTCATTGCTGCTTCGTGGGCACGTGCTTCTGCTTCCTGGGCGCGTGCTGCGGCCCTTTCTTCACGATCCAATTGTTGTTGAACCCTTTGTGCTTCTTTATCTTCCTGTTCTCTTCCTTCACAAAATTTTTTTAACTCCTCTCCTGATAACCCTAACTGTTTTCCTAGATTTATGTATTCTGCTAGGTTTGACATTTTAGAACTGATTACTGTAATTTATTACTTTTGAAACTGTTTAACTTTAAGATAAATCCCGTATTATTTAATTTATACCCTTCTTCAACTAAATAATTGAGATTTTAAATTTAATTATATCCCCTGACAAATTTTTATACTCAATAAATAAATAAACAAAAATAATCTATTTTACTTAAATAGAATAATAGAATATCACAATCAAAGAACCTGAAAATAGAACAAAGAAAGCATGTAACAATGTAATGAGTTGATTCTTTTTCCTTGGTCCTGGTGATGGCTCCCTTGCTCTTCTGCTGTTGGAATGGACTGGATTAGGTTTGTGGCCCTTGATGCTCCAATGCACGTCTTTACTGTCTCTGGACACGCTCTTCTGATCTTTGTAGGACACTGCTCTTGTCTTCTGTCGTGGTCTAAGTCTGCAGATGATCTTAAAAGACTATCATTAGTTTATGCTCATTCAATAATTCAAATATGTCCAAAAGTCTTTATACCCTGAAGTTGATCAGTTGGCACAGATCACTAAATGTTCACAGTTAGCGCATATTAATTTCACTAATTGTCACCACAAACTGTTGATAAATGTTAGATTCTCACTAAAATTCTTTTCTTACAAAGAATGTATGTAGTTCTACTCTACAATCTGAATAGTCATAGTCTATCACATTAATCACTGTTTTTCCTGTCTATCCATTATAAATTGTAAACATTTCGTGACGTAATTAATGTTGATAAACACCACTCCTTCCTTGTCTACACAATACACACGAACTCACCTATACGGACGTATTACAAACATTTAGTAGTAAAAGTACTACTGCTGGTACTGACTGGACCCCGTTCTTTTTTATTGACAAGTATTCTTAACCTGAGGCATTCACTTGTGGCTGGTGTGCTGTACGGTTGCCTCGAGTTAGCTGTCGCTGATGACGTTTTATCTGCTAATGTGTTGTACGTGACCGTTGTTGATGACCTTGCTCGCTGTAACTGAGTGCCGTCTTGGCCCCTGGCCATGCAGTGTTCTTGCGGTGAAATCTAGTCCGAAAATTCGTATCTCTGGTTTATGACCTCTTGTTTGACGAACAAAACCCACGTCAAACAACAGTCACAGGGATACCGTTGCTGACAATTTTCCGTCGTGGATTACCCACCACAAGGGTCAAAAGTTCAGCTTACAGTCTCTTCCAGCGACGAACAAGCGTTCCCGCGGGATGAAACGTGTACAATTTTTTTACACGTGAAGTGAATACATTACCCAGTATTGCTTCGCCGTGTTTCTGCCCATTTTTCTCAGGCTAGCTTGTTTGTTTCAGAATGACTAGAGTCTGGAATTCAGTTGTCCCGGTTTTACTTAATGCCCTTGACAGCATGTCCTGGTCTTACATAATACCCCGACATTTCTTTAAACTCCATCTTCCAACACACATAGTCACTCAAAACTTACGGCTGCCGGTATTTGCCTAAATTTTACTTCTGTCCACAAAAACACTACGTCTAATGTACTGGCATAGTTATAACATGCCTGCACTGTAACTTACACTTATAACTTACAATGTATTCGCACTTAGGACGGGTCCCCAATGTAATGACTGCCCTTTTGTGTCTCCTCCACACTGACTATCTGTGGTGCAGAGTTAACACTGGCTCTAATATCTAGAGGTTCACAACTCAATCAACGCAGACATGATCCTCTTCATGGTCACACAACGACTAACAACGGTTAACACCAGCGGCACATTTCACGAGTTTATTTACACGTTAGCTCAATACACAAATCACAGGTGAATCCACTTACAGCATTCGGACAATAGACGTTGACATATTCACAGCTGGCTTTCTCGATCATTCATTCCTCGCCGATTCAAATCCACATGCTCTAGTCATTCTCCATTCATCTTCACAGCTTCATTTTCCATCCTTTCTCTCTGGGGCCCAGTCACCGAATGCCCGCCTGATTCTCAATCCCCCAGATCTCCTCATTCACACGTGACACACTCTTTCCTGTCGTTTCACCATATCTCCGTGAAACCCATGCTCTCAGGGGCTTCCCCAGTTATGCCAATCATCCCCTGACATTATCCCTATTTATAACATCATTACACACAGCTTATCCTGTGTTGTGGGAGTGTCACACAATGCTGCATACAGCCGTGCAACCTAAGCTGCATGCAGCTCATGAAACGTAGGCTGCACTCTCTCGTGGGATGTGGGAGGGTTGGCTTTTAGGGCCAGTTCTGCATGTTTTGAGACCGTTAAAAGAGCCCACATCCTGTAATTTAGAACACACAATATTGCCCGACGGTGACAACAACTAGAAAAATGTTACGTGTTTTGGCCAGTCACTAAGCGTGAAACCCCTACAACATAGCACAAGCCTTGTGACATGGTGATTTAAAAATGGGAAGGGAGATCACTCTTTTTTTGGGCCCAAAAAGGTGAGATGTACCAAGTTTTTATTATAATTTAAAAAAAAAAACAATTTTTTTTCAAGTATTCAGAAACCATGAGTTGTTAACCCTTTAGCTCGGTACTATGGATATCACAACCCTTCACCCTTCATTCCATGATAGATATCATAAATCTGGGAGAAATGTGGCTTTTCTGCCTAACCCCAGGCGTGAACCCAGACCACAAGGAGTTCGTCGCCCAGTTGCTGCTCAGTCAGATTTAACCAACTGAGCTAGCGAGCCGGGCTTTATAGTAATCTTCTTCTTCTTTGCGTTCACCAGCTGTACATTCTGGCGTAAAGTTCTGGTTGTTCGTCCACTTCTGGACTGCAGTCCTGCTCCAGAACCTGGGTGTTGCATGTGCATCAGTTTTACAGATCTGATTCTATTGAATGCAGACTGCTGGTTCCTTGCCTCTCAGGCAGATGCACTTCGACTTCAAAGGAAGCTCCCCAGTTAGTCGACTCTTACGACATGCTTTTGGGGAGGCAGTGGGTCTATTCTTGTTTTCCCCACAATAGGGCCCCGGAACCCACACGGGGGTTTATAGTAATAAAATGGCTTTAAGGTTATTGAAGGTGTCAGAGCTGAACATATGATTTACATCAGTTTAGTTAGGCATGCCAAAACTGATGTAAAATAGTTAAGTTTTAATAAAGAGTTAAAGTTGATCATACTATCCCATTGGAATGAATTTTAACACTGATAATGGTTTGGTTCTTCAGCTTGATATAGAAGATGTTGTGTGGCTGGAGTATCATGATCAGAACCCTACAAATGATCAGTTGGTACTTAAAAAGCTGAAATAATGTCACCAACAGGAGCCTCAGTCTGTGATGGGAAGCAAAGCCAAGGTTGATAACAACACAAGGCACTTGAAGACAGAATTGCCATCGTAGATAATATGGTTTCCTGTTGAGAAAAGGTGAATCCCAAGAGCTTGACACTTGTTCTTAGTTATAAATACTGGAGTCTGTTTCTCCAGGCATTCTTGCATTCTTCATTCACACCCACAGAGAATAGCCACCCCTGATGCTTTTAATCTTTGACACTGGTTCTTAGTTATAAATACTTGAGTGTGTTTCTCCAGGCATTCTGGCATTCCTCATTTACACTTACAAAGAATAGCCACCCCTGATGCTTTTAATCTTTTATTTTTTAGGACTTCAAGCCCACTGATTTTCACCCACCCAGGACAGTAGGCTAAACCAGACCTTTGCTTGATGTATCCATTATGGATGCCTTAATTATAAATTCTTAGCTGGCTGACCAGGGTATCTGGAATTAGTTTTGTTGGATTTAGTTTCAGACAAATGCTGTAGTGCAATGGACAGTTGTGCCAGTTATGTATGAGTTGTCTGTCTTAGCAGGTGTGATGTAGAAACTGAATTCTCAAGTTGTCACATATTTGTCTGACCACAGGTAATGATGTTAGTCTAAACCTAGATCCAAGGACCTTGAGATCAAAATTTCTCAAAAGTTTGCAGCTGAAATGGAAGGATGGACGTGTTGTAAGTTTGTTTCATTTTCCTTGCTGTATTCCAGTGAATGAGGAATGATTTGTAAATGTGGAAGTTATAATGTGTGATATAGCCAGTACTGGTGTTTGTTCGATTTTGGATACAAAAAACAAATTATAAAAAAAGTAAGAGGCACATGAGATTGAGTACTTCAGAAGCACAGAATTCCATGGACAGTTAAATAAAGACCTTTTCCACACTCTAAGATGTTTTGGGCATATAGGGCTGCCAACTGGCACACGGCGGGTGATGTGGTCGACCTCATGCTGCTCATCTTTACTTCCCATGACATTTCCTGGTACCTACTCAAAGCTGGGTAGACCTGGAAAACAAGGTCATTTGTGACAACAATTCCAAATATATTCAGACTGGACCCCAACCTTGGGCTTTCATGAACCATAACTATTGTTTAAAAAAAAAAAAGATAAGGACCCTTCTTATGCAAATGGTTTGGCCATGTTTTTTCATAGTCATCACACTTGCTACCATGACTTCTCAGGACATATCCTGGCACCCAGTTTAAGCTCAGTCGATCATGGACACAGACAATATAAGGCAAAATATACCTCAGTGGGAATTTTAACTCATCCCCACTAGGCCATCAAGCAGCCAGTTAACTCTTCATAGATAGTGAAAAATGTTTTTGGATCTTATTCAACCTGATTTTTAAAATTTTAAATAATTGATCCTTTACCAAACAGTTGTTATTCATTTCAAGATAAACTTATTATTTAACCATATATAGAAATCTATATGAGAAGTTCTTCTATAATACAGTTGTTGTACTCCTGAAGATCTGTTCCTTGAAATACATGTGGGCTTAAAAAACACCAGGATTGGGGGCTGTTGTTTAGGAAAGAACACTGAACAACTTTATAAGCAGCACACACAAACCAGAAAAGCTTGAAATAAGCATCACTGTAAGAATACTTTATTTAATGTGGAAGCACAGTAAAGTAATCCAACATTATGATAATATGCTGAATCTATCTGACCTAAATCACTTGGGTCCGTGAGTGCAGAGAGTGGCCAGCGAGTGCTAAGGAGGTGGAAGTCCAACAGTTGATTCATGACAATTCTCAGCCAGATGATCTGATTATCTATAAAGATGATTCTGTGTTGAAAGGGAAAAGAAGTGGTAGTGGGGGGGGGGGGGGGGGGGGGTGTTCATAGTGAAAGCCAGTAGACAATCTTTAGTGCAAGACAGCCTAGCATATGATACCAAAACATCTAGCATGAGGATGGCGATGGAGGCGGTCACTGCAGCTTTCTGGTGGCTAGAGAACAAAATGCATACACATATTGTAATTGTTACAGACTCTGAGAGTATGGGGTGAAAGGTGAAGACATGGGTGCTTCGAGCAGAGTGGCAAGCTTCACAGGGAAGGTCACGGGTAGTGAGCATACTTTGGATCTTTTCTGCAGGAAATGTCGGTGTGGTGGGAAATGAACAGGCAGACAGGCTGGCTGAATCACTGGGTGGTGAATTGATACATGACAGGGCAGATGCGGTCATGCCTTTTGGGAAAATATAACATGAAGTCAGAAGAGAGACAAGATTATTATGGCCTAGAGAGAATGATGCATCTGGGTGTAACTAGAGGGTCTGGCCAGCTCACTACACTCAGAGGAAAGGCAAGATGGACATATAACTAGATTACAGTCAATACCATGGCTGCTGAAGATGAAGACGGAGTGCGCATGGGAATGCCCTGAGTGCTGTGATGTCAGTTCTTGATTCAAATCAACTCAACTCTAACATAATAATTGAATAAGTGTGTCTGTGTCACAGGGGGTAGGATAGGACTGTTGCTTGTGGATTGTTGTGGAGAGGCAGTAGAATTTGTTTTCTCATGATGAGCTCAGCTTCAGATGAAATTGCATGTATGGCTGAGTGTTGCTGTCTAGATGGCCTTCTGTAGCAGCTCAAAATATTTGTGGCTTCTTCTTCCTTTGTTAGCACTATTTAGCAATCTGTTGCTGTGACAACGTTCTGTACATGACACGCTGATTGGTTCATTGATTGATATTCTGTTTTATAATAAAGATCTTCATGATCAGTGTGCAAGGAGGATATTTCAGCTAACTAACTACCTAATGTTATTTGGTTTACTCACAACTGAATGGCCAGTAAGTCTTTACTTCACAGTTACCCATCCGACTGCACTGATTATTTCCAAGCCCTGCATTGGATAGCCAAAATGGGCATGTTTCTGCCTGTTATACCAGATTTCTCCAGCTTCCACTAATCCATGTATTATGTACAGAAATTACCAGACTGTACCCTGTAACATTTTTTTAAAATAAATATTTTATTAACGTGGTCACCACATCACAAGCTAGGCCCAAAGTCAATTTCTTAGTTTCTAACTCAAGGAATATTAGAAATACTCCACAAACAATATCAAAATTTTGTTTTATGTTTGATTCATTTCACATGTTTTAAAACATCATTTCCCATTTATTTGACCTTCCTCTAATATAATGACTACATAAATATCTGCCATTATTCCTGACCATTGTCTCAGCCATATTCTAATGATGCTGGTTTGGGTGGACACTTTGTATTCTAAGTGAACAGCTTTCTGAATGTTGCATGGATAGGAGGTCTAGCAATTGTAGATCTATATTTATAATATAGGTAGTCAACCATTTTTTTTTTAGTTGTGAATTAATGAATGCCATATTATGTTATCTCTCATTATTGAATGAAATTTTATGTATGCCACATGCAATTTCTCATTAAAGTTATCTCTCTTTAATGAATGGCATTTTATGTTATCTCTCTTTAATGAATGGTATTTTATGTTATCTCTGATTAATGAATGTCATTTTATATTTGCCATATGCAGTCTCTCATTATTGTTATCCCTCATTAATGAATGTCATTTTATATTTGCCATATACAGTCTATCATTATTGTTATATCTCAATAATGAACGTCATTTTATATTTGGCGAACAAAGTCTCTCATTCATGTTATATCTCATTAATAAGTGTCATTTTATGTATGCGTACTTATGAAACCAGTAAACTTGACTGAAGAAACACAATGAGAAAATTGCTGAATATGGAAGACAGTAGAGTGACATGACGAGTCAGCAACAGACGTCTCATATTGGCTTGCTTAATTACATGTTGAGCATTTCCTAAATAAAATTTTTAAAAATAACAGTGTTCTTGATGCTGTTTCATGAAACAACAGATTTATTAATAATAGTACAGTATGTTATCTTGTGTGCTGTTCAAATAATAATTTATTGATTTGTTTGTTTCAAGAATCAGCAGTACACTGGACAAACCAAGTTTGCTCTGCCTTATTCAACAAATGTCCTAATTTGTGTTTTGTTTGGCTGTTACTTTTCACAGTTAGGTAACATGCGAGTGTTTGCTGGTGCAGTTTGGCTGCGTATGAATTTGGGACAGAGCATGATTCGTGGAGGGTCAGGCAAGCTTCCAAGGGTTTATAACCCAAACCACTCAGTGTTTATAGTGACCTTCCCTGGATCTCCATATGTTTTCATTAACAAGGCAGCTCCTAGACTGCTGAACGTTGTCACAGAGGTAGGTAACTGAGCTGTTAATTTAGTACTTATATTCCCCTGTATGGGTTCCGGAGTCCCATTGTAGGGGAAAACAAGAATAGACCCACTGCCTCCCCAAAAGCATGTCATAAGAGTCAACTAATTGGGGAGCATCCTCGGAGTGCATCTGTCGGAGAGGCAAGGAACCAACAGTCTGTATTCAAGAGAATGAGATCTGTAAAACTGATGCACGCGCAACACTCAGGTTCTGGAGCTGGACTGCAATTCAGCAGTGGACGAGCAACCAGAACTATCCAGCAGAGTGTATAGCTGGTGAACGCGAAGAAGAAGAAGAAGAATACTTATATTTGTAGGAGAAGATTTGATGTTTTATCTAGCTGAATATGCGTAGAAAGATAATATTTATCTGTTGAATCTAACTGAATATTTGAAGAAAGGTCAGGTTCACATGTTAAATCTAGCTGAATATTTTTCTTTGTTTCTTCTTCTTCTTTGCATTTGGTTTCGCATGCTCAAGTCAGATCTTCAGGTGGGCTGCCTCTGTGACCCATGTGTCAGTTGCAGGTCCTCCATAGTTCCCCATAGCTTGCTCTGCACACTATACTCTTGAGGCCAGGTTTCTCTTGAGAGGTGTAAGTTAGTGGACAGGTCAGCAGAATATGCTCAGATGTTCATGGTCCCATCTGATACGCACACTGGGGGGACTGTAGACTTTATTTTTTGCACATGGTATTTAAGCCTGCAGTGTCCTGTGTTTAGACTGGAAAATTGTTGTATGTTGTTTTCTGTTGAGTTTGCTGATGGGGGTCTGGTTGATAACTGAATGTTTTAAGAAAGATAAGGTGCCTTGGTCAGCCCAGAACCCGACCATCTTCTTCTGTCATAAGTTGGCCCTTAATGAAAGCCTCAAAGCCACACATACATGTGCTTGCCCCTACTTTCCCAGAAGTCCAGACAGCATATGAGTGGCTGGTTACTACCCTTGTTGATCCATTGTTCAAACCAAAACCATTAAGTAGATCATAGACTGAGCCAGTGACCGGCTGGGCATCTTAGTGTCACCATTTCCTCACAAGAGATGACATCAACCAGCAGCATGGTACAGACAGGCATGTCACTTTGAGTGCTGATTATGGAGAAATCATGCAATTATGTATGCAGGTTTTCCATTAACTATAGTCGCTTCTTTATTAATTTTGTTACCCAGTTAATTGAAGTCACGTTTTGATTAGATCTTTTATATTTATAATTTATTAATAATCTGCCCAATGTGTGTCCTCAGTAGTGAATGTACATATATGCAGGAAACATTTTAAAGTAAAATATGCATTTTGGGAGCAGCTGATCGATTCTTAACCAAACTGCCCATAAATCTTGATCGATTGTTTTCCCTTTTTTGTTTATGTATTTGAATATTTTAGGGAGTTGTGGACGCACTGAATGCAGACAGTCTGAAGGATATCAAGCTCAGTGGACATCAGGTCTCGTCTTTAGCAGATATTGTGCTGACAAAGAATAGCAAGGTATGCAGTAATTCCAGACAAATAGTCTTAGTGTGGTTTTTCTACACATTCAGTAGATTATTTGTAGAAAAGAGTAATGAGACAGTAGCAAGGTATGCAGTAAACCTAGTCTTAGTGTGGTTTTCTACGGATTCAGTGGATTAAATGTAGAAATGAGAGTAGTAAGATGAAGAATAGCAAGGTATATAGTAATTCCAGACAAACAGTCTTATTGTGGTTTTTTTCTCTCCAGTAAATCAGTAAATTATGTGTAGAAATGAGTGTAGTGAGTCTTGCTGTGAATGATATAGAAGGAAATGAGTGTAGTGAGTCTTGCTGTGAATGATATAGAAGGAAATGAGTGTAGTGAGTCTTGCTGTGAATGATATAGAAGGAAATGAGTCTAGTGAGTCTTGCTGTGAATGATATAGAAGGAAATGAGTGTAGTGAGTCTTGCTGTGAATGATATAGAAGGAAATGAGTCTAGTGAGTCTTGCTGTGAATGATATAGAAGGAAATGGGTGTAGTGAGTCTTGCTGTGAATGATATAGAAGGAAATGAGTCTAGTGAGTCTTGCTGTGAATGATATAGAAGGAAATGAGTGTAGTGAGTCTTGCTGTGAATGATATAGAAGGAAATGAGTCTAGTGAGTCTTGCTGTGAATGATATAGAAGGAAATGAGTGTAGTGAGTCTTGCTGTGAATGATATAGAAGGAAATGGGTGTAGTGAGTCTTGCTGTGAATGATATAGAAGGAAATGGGTGTAGTGTAGTGTCTTATACTGAATGATATAGATAGAGATGGGAGTGTAGTGAGTCTTGCTGCAAGTGGTATAGAAGGATGGGGGTGTAGTGAGTCTTGCTGTGAATGATATAGAAGGAAATGAGTCTAGTGAGTCTTGCTGTGAATGATATACTCAAGGAAATGAGTCTAGTGAGTCTTGCTGTGAATGATATAGAAGGAAATGAGTGTAGTGAGTCTTGCTGTGAAGGATATAGAGAGAAATGAGTGTAGTGAGTCTATGCTGTGAATGATATAGAAGGAAATGGGGTGTAGTGACCGATACACTCTGGGAATGATAGAGATGGGAGTGAGTGTAGTGAGTCTTGCTGCAAGTGGAATCATAGAGAATGGGAGTGTAGTGAGTCTTGCTGTGAATGATATAGAAGGAAATGAGTGTAGTGAGTCTTGCTGCAAGTCAAGGAATCATAGAGAAATGAGTGTAGTGACCGATGCACTCAATGAATCATAGAAGAGATGGGAGTGTAGTGACCGATATACTCAAGGAATCATAGAGATGGGAGTGTAGTGAGTCCGATGCACTCAAGGAATCATAGAAGGAAATGGGAGTGTAGTGACCGATACACTCAAGGAATATATAGAGAAATGAGTGTAGTGACCGATCTTACTGCAAGTGAATCATAGAGATGGGAGTGTAGTGAGTCTTGCTGCAAGTGATCATAGAAGATGGGAGTGTAGTGACCGATCTTGCTGCAAGTGATATATAGAGATGGGAGTGTAGTGAGTCGATACACTGTGAATCATAGAGATGGAAGTGTAGTGACCGATACACTCAAGGAATCATAGAGATGGGAGTGTATGACCGATACTCAAGGAATCATAGAGATGGAGTGTAGTCTTGCTGTGATACACTCAAGAATCATAGAGATGGGAGTGTAGTGACCGATTACTCTGTGAATGATCATAGAGATGGGAGTGTAGTGACCGATTACTCAAGGAATCATAGAGAATGGGTGTAGTGAGTCTTGCTGCAAGTGGTATAGTGACCGAAATAGTGTAGTGAGTCTTGCTGCAAGTGAATCATAGAGATGGGAGTGTAGTGACCGATTGCTCAAGTGAATCATAGAGATGGGAGTGTAGTGACCGATCTACTCAAGGAATCATAGAGATGGGAGTGTAGTGACCGATATACTCAAGGAATCATAGAGATGGGAGTGTAGTGACCGATATACTCAAGGAATCATAGAGATGGGAGTGTAGTGACCGATATACTCAAGGAATCATAGAGATGGGAGTGTAGTGACCGATATACTCAAGGAATCATAGAGATGGGAGTGTAGTGACCGATACACTCAAGGAATCATAGAGATGGGAGTGTAGTGACCGATACACTCAGGGAATCATAGAGATGGGAGTGTAGTGACCGATATACTCAAGGAATCATAGAGATGGGAGTGTAGTGACCGATATACTCAAGGAATCATAGAGATGGGAGTGTAGTGACCGATATACTCAAGGAATCATAGAGATGGGAGTGTAGTGAGTCTTGATGTGACTCAAGGAATCATAGAGATGGGAGTGAGTCTTGACCGATATACTCAAGGAATCATAGAGATGGGAGTGTAGTGACTGTGAATATACTCAAGGAATCATAGAGATGGGAGTGTAGTGATGATATACTCAAGGAATCATAGAGATGGAGTGTAGTGACTTGATGCACTCAAGGAATCATAGAGATGGGAGTGTAGTGACCGATATACTCAAGTGATCATAGAAGGGGAGTGTAGTGACCGATATACTAGTGAGATCATGGGAGTGTAGTGACCGATATACTCAGTGAATCATAGAGATGGGAGTGTAGTGACCGATATACTCAAGTGAATCATAGAGATGAAATGAGTGTAGTGAGTATACTCAAGGAATCATAGAGAGGAAATGGGTGTAGTGAGTCTTGCTGTGAAGGAATAGAAGAAATGGGAGTGTAGTGACTTGCTGCAAGGAATCATAGAGATGGGAGTGTAGTGAGTCTTGCTGTGAATGATATAGAAGGAAATGAGTGTAGTAAGTCTTGCTGTGAATGATATAGAAGGAAATGAGTGTAGTGAGTCTTGCTGCAAGTGGTATAGAAGGAAATGGGTGTAGTGAGTCTTGCTGCAAGTGATATAGAAGGAAATGGGTGTAGTGAGTCTTGCTGTGAATGATATAGAAGGAAATGAGTGTAGTGAGTCTTGCTGCAAGTGATATAGAAGGAAATGGGTGTAGTGAGTCTTGCTGCAAGTGGTATAGAAGGAAATGAGTGTAGTGAGTCTTGCTGTGAATGATGTAGAAGGAAATGAGTGTAGTGAGTCTTGCTGCAAGTGATATAGAAGGAAATGAGTGTAGTAAGTCTTGCTGCGAGTAATATAGAAGGAAGCCCTCAACATTGACATGATTTGATTGCAAAGGCTATACTTCACGATTGGGGGGGGGGGGGGGGGGGGGCAAAGAAGAACCTGAAATAACAACATCAAGAATTGGACTGAACTAAATTGTTATACACTTGTTTAGCAAGCAAGAGACAGAAGAAAATGGTGGGTTTTGTGTGCTAGTGCTTGCATCGATACAGCTCCATGACCTTAATGGGTCAAGACCTATGTTTGATTCTGTTCTTTTTGACTTTATTCAGATGTTCTGTCTTCTGTCTGGTGCTGTACAAATTCAGAAATGCAGGGTTAGATTTTTGTAAAATAAAGAACACCGTTTTGAGTGGCGTAGTTCAGATTTTTATGATAGAAACGATTAAAAACTGTGATTGATTATTAGTTTAGAATAATGCAAATAAAACTGAGGGGCATCAGCTGAGGTAAAACACTTGACCACATGGTAGTTTTATCAGCTGAGGTAAAACACTTGACCGCATGATAGTTTTATCAGCTGAGGTAAAACACTTGACCACATGATAGTTTTATCAGCTGAGGTAAAACACTTGACCACATGATAGTTTTATCAGCTGAGGTAAAACACTTGACCACATGATAGTTTTATCAGCTGAGGTAAAACACTTGACCACATGATAGTTTTATCAGCTGAGGTAAAACACTTGACCACATGATAGTTTTATCAGCTGAGGTAAAACACTTGACCACATGATAGTTTTATCAGCTGAGGTAAAACACTTGACCACATGATAGTTTTATCAGCTGAGGTAAAACACTTGACCACATGATAGTTTTATCAGCTGAAGTAAAACACTTGACCACATGATAGTTTTATCAGCTGAGGTAAAACACTTGACCACATGATAGTTTTATCAGCTGAGGTAAAACACTTGACCACATGATAGTTTTATCACCATTCGCTAAGATAACATTTGATCAGAGAAATCTTTGATCACCGTTAGCTAAGAAAGAATTAATCCCCCCAAAAATATTTCATAGTTTCCTGAGATAATCTATATTGGTCAAACAAAACTGTGATCCTCAATTAAAATTTTTTTTCATCATCACCAGCTGAGGTGATGAAAATTGATTTTAAAAAACCTAATCACTAGAGTAATAACTATGGATCAGATAAAACCTTGATCATCTTTGAGATAACTGTTGATCAAATAAGACTTTGATCATCATTAGCTAAGGTAATAAACATTGATTACTTTGATCATTGCTAGCTAAGAAAATAAAAACTGACCTATAAAACTTTGGCTGCCATTAGCTAAGGTAAAGGTTTTCTATATAAAACTTGTGATCACTGTTAGCTGAGATAATCAACAGATCAACGTCGTAGTCGAAATTTGTTCCGTAGGTGAATTATTATGAAATATAAGAAGTTTGCTATTTTTCGGGTTCTGGTCACTGATCTCTCTTTCGCTTCACAGTCTATGTTAAACAGGTATCGAGAACAAGAAGACAGAGAGAACCCACTTTTAGTTGGACAAGAAAGAAAAAGAAAGGGTGAGCAGTTTTTATTTGTGCTAGAATTTAACAAAGCCAATGCAAAAATAATTTTTTTCCCAATTTCCATGTGCTTTATATTGCCATTAAATATTGTTTAAAATGTAAATTTGTATGTATTATTTCCACACACTTGTGTGTTCTGGTCAAGGCATGATTTTATCCACTCCTGTGTATGGTACTGTGGTATAGTTGAAGCGTTATGTTCAGTTCGCAGACACAGTGCATGAGCACTGAAATAATGTCTGCTTGGGGTACTCCTTTAAAGTACCCTTTTTTTCTACTGACTACGAATTAGAAATTATTTAGTTGGTGCAGACTGCATCAGAACTATGTATCCTGTGGTGATGTATGTAAACTTTGTACATGGTTGTTTAGTTTTGCATTCAGTAAGTTCCTTTTAATAGACAGATTGAGGACATCTACGAAACAATTTTAAACATGTTGATAAGGGGGTCAAAGATGCTGCATTGTGTTCCATCAATGATGAAGTGATTGCATAGAATTGAACTTAGTGGAAGAATACACTGTCAGCTCTAAGTGACCTGTAATGGAACAACAGGGCAAGCAATGAACAAAGAATGGTTTTTCTAATCGCATTTGTTAGAATAGACATCTGCTGCTTTAATTTGAATCTGCCTTGACATGTTCTTATAGACGTATGCATTTAACCGTCCATACTTTTGTGTGTGTATTTTACTTGATATTTGTATTATTTATATTATTTTATTATCATAGATGCTTTAAAGATAAAATACAGTTGCAGTGTAAAAGATACGTATTTGGAAGGGTGAATGTAAGAGGGACCCACATGCCTAGTTTGCGACTCTTGTAAAATAAAGTTTTTTTTGTGTGTGTCTTTCTTGTGCAATTTTCCTCTCAAGCTAACCTAAACATGTTTCTGTGATGTCTTTAGCAGTGGATCCTTTCACTGAAACTGAGGGCCTAGTGGATGAAGAGAGACAGCAGAAACGCATCAAACGGGTCGTCCTGGAGAAGAAACTGGGCAGTGAGCCTCAGCCTGTGCTGGAGACATTGGACTATAAGGTGCGTCATTTGTTACTGCGCAACGACAAAAGCTTTTGTGTTAGTGCTGGTGGGAAGATAAGGGTTGAAGGTCACTTATCAAGCAGTCGTCACACATACTATAGTGTTTGTTACATTTCTAAAGGTTATTTCTAGAGAAGAAAGAAAACCTGAATGTTGAGTTTTCTTGAAGTTGTTACCTGGTCAAGAGTTGAAACTGTTGTTTGCTTTAATGATAACCATGTCTTGATTACCCTCTTGGCTAGTGTCTAAACTTCAATGACTTGATTGATTGACATGCTTATGAGACCACTTTGGTTGATAATTGAGTTGTAGTCTTAATTACCTCATTGGTCAAAATCTGTACCTTAAAGACCTCATTAGTGAGCTTATATAATTTTATTGACCTCATGACGTGATGTTATAGACTCCTAGTGGCTTAACTGGTTAATATCTCAGCCTTATTTGTCTCTGTGACCTTATTGATTGATGTCACAGTCCTAATTACCTCAGTAAATGATGTCTTAGTGTCACTGACTATTGAATTAAAATCTTAGTTCCAGTAATGAAATTAGTGGAAATCCTAGACATACTTTGTTGATTTAGTGTCATGTTCTGTTGTATAATAAGTTATAAGTTTTTTTTCCCCGTTACTAAACTGTATTTAGTCTGGAATTTTAAGCAGTCCTCCTGGCCACTATCGTTACCACTTCTCCAGACAGACCATCATCTATTATCATTGATTTTAGAGTCAGTTAAGTCTGTTTACACTAAAAGTTGAACGAGTTTGGTAGTTTCTTTTTATGTTCTTGGATAGTTTCCGCAGAAGAAAACTGTTGAAATTAGCAGGGATACGTCTAAAGCATACTTAGACAAGTGAAAGAAAGCAACTATTTAAATTTAGACAGGAGGAACAGATTGAATGATTAATTATTCTAAGAGTTTTAAAAAAAAAGATTTAAAAAAATGCAGATTTGCAACAATACAAACCACTATCACACCAAACATTGCCTTTGTTTTAGTGCCACCCTCAGAATGTAGCTTGGCTGCAATGCATTCATTGCTGTCTTTGAGAATATTATATGTACTTTCGCAATAGCTGACCACATGTGACATCACGGGACAGTCCAATATTTACTAGGGTGGTAAGACCAGGTTTCCCTGTTGTCTTTGTATTTTTGTTTCCCCAGCTTTCTGTGAGTTTTCTGTTTATCTACCACTCCCTGAAATATTAGACTGTCCCGTGACCTATGGATTTCCACTGTGGTTGGCTATGGGAAAAGTACCATATTCTTCTTCTTCTTCACTTAAATTCTGGCTGTTCATCCACTTCTGGACTGCAGTCCTGTTCCAGAACCTGAGTGTTGCGTGTGCATCCGTTTTCAGATCTGACTCATTTGTTTGCAGACTGCTGTTTCCTTGCCTCTCAGGCAGATGCATTTCAACTTTGAAGGAGCTCCCAATTAGTTTTATCTTCTGTGGTACAATAAGTCCTTAAGAAAGAGAATAGGGGCTTTTGAGCTGAAATTCTATAGAAAGATTCTCAGAATATCTTAGACAAAGAAGAGGAGAAATACTGACATCTTGAAAGATCTGAACATCAAGGAAGATTGGCTAATAAACAGCATTCTGTCTCGGAAGCTGAAATATTTTAGTCAAATCAAGCGCCACAACGTATTGAAAAAAAATTATAGCAGAAGGCATGGTACTAGGAAGGAGGGGCAGGGGCCGACCTACACGAAGATGGGCACAGGATATAAGTGACTCCTTGAGTATGAAAGTGCATGAGGCGGGAGAACTGGCGAGAGACCGAGTTTCTTTCAGGCAGACTGTGATGAGAGCAACCTTCTGCAAAGGACCTGCTACATGATGATGATGATGGTACAATTCTCATTCCACTGACATAAGGCCAGGGAACAGTGTTAAAACCACCCAGTACGGATATCTAACTAATACTTCTTCTTCTCTTTCACCTTGCACCTCAGCGAAGTTTCGGGGGAAGATTTAACGTTCTTCAGTGTGTTAAACAGACCTTTTCGACTAACCAAATCAAATGCCTTGGTAAGATCAATAAAAGCAACATACAGTGGTTGATTGTGTTCACGACATTTTCCTGCTGCTGTCGTAATGAAACTATCATCAGTGGTAGATCGGTTCCCACGATATGATGTTTTCCCATTACGACATTTGCAGGGAAAATGCTGCGAAAATCAACCACTGCATGTTAATTTTGAGATAGAGGATAGATGAGGACAAAAGAACAAGATATGGAAAAAAAAAGAAATCATTAGACAATTTACAACCTACACTACGACAAACAACTAAGAAAGAAAACAGAGTCCTGTGACCCTTTTATCTATTAAAAAAAAAAAAAAAAAAGCCCACTGGCATAGAGAAAGAACAGGAGCAGGTGGAGGAGAAAGAGAATGACAAATAAGAAAGACAAACTCATACAGAGTTTGAATTAGAAGACACCAGGAAAGAACTCTGTGGTGCTCTGTAATTCAGGAAATAACATAATTGAATCTTTAGGCTTTTGTAATCAACTGAATTGCTGCTCTAAACATGATACTTGTTAGTTTTATATTACTGTTGGTGGCTTGTGGTTATTTTAAAAATAACTGTATCAGTACTTATCAAAATTAATGTGTGATTGGTGTTTCAGAATATAAAAATTGGTTTATCAAAAGACAGTATTGTTCTGATTACAGTTTAATGTCGACTTCCATGGACAAGAACTCAGTGGCATGAAATGTTCAACCTCAGTGGAAATCAAAGGCACATCGGTATTGAATGGGTTGTACCAGATAGCAGCCAGTGGGCTGGTCAAGTTCCCACTGCCCAAACACTTGACAGCTGTCACCAGCAGTGCCAGAAACAGTTTCACTATTGAGAGTGCACACAAAAAGTAGATGATATGTAGATACTGGTTTTACTGTCAGTATTTGTAACATTAGACTGTCTTTCCATAAAAATAGGTGTTACAGACTGCATGTTTTAATAGGATTCTGAAATGCTTTTGGTGTAAATACTCATGTTTTATCGTTTCAAAATAAAATATCTGAACAACAAATATAGTTTATTGTCCACTTTATATAGAGCATGCCTGTCTCCATCTTTATCAGCACCCTGTGTGAGTTTGTTACAGTCCATTCATGTATATGTAGCTGATCTCAACCCAGTGAAAAGCTGCAGTGACTGCCTTCACCTCCATTCTCAAACTAGATGTTGTGTGTAATCATATTTCAGGCTTTGTTGCACTAAAGATTATCCATTCACATTTGCTATGAACCCCTCGCACTGCTTCTGCCTCTCAACACAAAGCCATCTGTATAGATTTTCACTTCACCTGGGTAACAATGAATCAGTTGTTAAATTTCTGATTCAGCAATGCTTGCTGGCCAATCCCAACTTAACTCTACACTGTGACCTTACTTGCAGCACCTTGAGCCTATCTGCAATAGTTAGCAGGCTAACGTGGTATTGGATGAGCTTCTATCAAAACCACATACCTCAATTTATTTTCTTTTTTGATGTTACTATCATCAATTCTGACGCTACAAACACTTTGAATCACCAACTGGTAAGAAAAGCCCAGTCACGGAGTGGAAGCAGTGGAAGCGGGTGATATCTTAAGAAATGAAATTCACAGGCTCAGAATGATGAAGAAGAAAAATGCCTTATTTAAGTGCCCATTGCCTTGGAGATTAGGGGAACAATTGCTAGAATGTCATGGAGCCAGTTTTAAATAAAATTGTGAATCTTGAACAGGTGGTGAATAGCCAGTAAAGTATCTGAAGGTCAGAGATGTGTGGTTGCCTGGACACATGTGTTAGGAATCATTATCATCATCAAGTGCCACCTGCACATTGAAGATAGGCCAGGATATATTCAAGCTTTTTTCCATTCTCGTTTTCTATCCAACTGTGACATGTTTCTCTTGTATTAACAAGGAACCGTTTCATAGTTCATGTGATTTGTTGTCAGCGTATGATTTGTCAGTTTGTGAAGAGTGAATAAGAGCATGTCCTACACCTGAGACAAAGTGACAATCACCTGACCATGTTATTAGTCTGAGACAAAGTGACAGTGAGATAACTTGGCCATGTTGTGGGTCTAAGACAAGGTGACTGAGATAATTTGGCCATGTTGTGGGTCTCAGAAAAGGGGACAGTGAGATAAACTGGCCATGTCCTAGACCTGAGTTGTGTGCTATCTGAGTTACACAATAATCAGCACACGACCAAGTGTCCACAGGTACAGATATTCACTTGACACATTGAGTTACGAGACAACACTGTCAGCTCCGCCATACATTAAGTTTTTGCAACAATACATGAGGGTATTTACAGGCCCTCACATCGACAGAATGAAATATTCAGAGACATAGACACGGATCCTAATTGGCATTCCCTAATTGTCTCTCTCAGTCTGTAGCGTCCTCTTCTTGACCACTACAGCTCATAAGGTCTACAGCGTCCCACAACTCTCCCATCAATTGGACCTTGATATTACTTCGGCTGACTGGAAAGGACATCGTTCTCCAGCATGTGCTCACAGCACCTTAGCCTGTCGAAGGACTCCGATGACCCACAGCTCATAGCGGGCTCGTCGGCATCCCTACTGTTTTGTTTCCATGGTGATCCTACGTCTCCTTGCGCCATCACCTAGAACAGTCACTACTGGAGCACCCAGTCCCCTTGGCCTTACTTCGCCAGCTATACCTTCAACCAGTACCGTTACCGAGACTCTCGCTCAGACCTTGCTGTCTGCCGGGTGCATGGTACTCTCACTCGAGAGATGCTGTCTCTGACCCTGACTTAGTCTCTCTCTGCCTCGGGCTCCGACTCTCACACAACACTCTCGTGCTGGGTGTGTACTACACCCGCACTTCCCCAGTGCTTTAGCTCTTTGGCTGCAGCTGACTGACTCAAACTGTCTATGCAGCCCCAATATATACCTGCCGAACCCATGTGGGCGGCTGTTGTTACACAAAAGGCACGCTCGTGTGGGCATTCTCAGGAATCATGCTCATGTGGGCGTTCTTTAGACTCACGCTCATGTACGTGTTCTCGAGAATCACACTTATGTGGGTGGCTGATGTTACATGAGAATCTTGCTGTCACGTAATTCATTCTTTCTCTGTGTGTCTCTGATCATTCTCTGTGTGTCTCGTTAGCAGCCATGCTTGTCAGCCCCACCATGATCCCACGCATCTGCTTTCACTTGACACTACACTTCTCACTGGTCAACATTCTCTCCCCCTCACTACACGGGCCAATGTTGACACTGTTCACAGGACATTCCCTTAAACTCCCAGAAAGTACTAATATACCACTCTGTCCCTTCACACAATATTACACTTTCCCAAATCAGCACGCAACACTGAGACAATGTGACAGTGAAATAACCTGGCTGTGTACTGGGTCTGAGACAAGGTAACAGTTAAATTACATGGCGATATACTGGGTATGAGATAAGGTGACAGTGAGATAACCTTACCATTTCCTAGACCTGAGATAAGGTGACAGTGAGATAACCTGACCATGTACTGGGTCTGAGACAAGGTAACAGTTAAATTACATGGCGATATACTGGGTATGAGATAAGGTGACAGTGAGATAACCTTACCATGTCCTAGACCTGAGATAAGGTGACAGTGAGATAACCTTACCATGTCCTAGACCTGAGATAAGGTGACAGTGAGATAACCTGACCATGTACTGGGTCTGAGACATGGTGACACTGAGATAGCATGGCCATATTCTGGGTATAAGACAAGGTGATGGTGAGATAACCTGGCTATGTACTGAGTCTGAGACACAGTAACAGTGAGATAACCTGGCTATGAGAGAAGATAACTGAGATAACATGGCCATGTACCAGGTCTGAGACAATGTGACAGTGAGAAAGATGGCTCAATCCCGCCACATGTACAGGTATCAAACAAGCATCTCCGGCCGCTGGCTGTTTAGCTTCACCATCAGGATAGTGGTCAACTTTGACTGGATTCTGGCAAGGTGGTCATCTTGTAGAATTCAATCTCCTTCACGCTTTTCAGTTATACAATGTCACATTCATGCTCTCACAAAACACAACCTTTCACTCTGGCTGCGAATCACACACTGGTTTGGAACATCGTCCAATCTTTCACCTCGTTCTCAGTCCCTTGTGCAGTCACCTGAGCACTCTTCCTACAATTCCTGCTTCAGCAGGTATCGTGCTCTCACAAATTTCTCTCTCAACCTATATTTAACCTTCACGTCACTAGAAACTCCATGTGGAAGTTCCCTTATTACAGAACCTGTATATTTTTATGTTTGTAATGTTTGATCATTAACCAAGAAAGAGATGGATAAATAGTGCAGCTGAAACCTGCAAAAAGATGAACAAATCCATCACCAAGCCACCTGAGAAGTGCAAAACAAATACAGAAAACCAAGACACTGGGCTACAACCTGGTATCAGTTATATGACAAACCAAGAAGAGAAAGCTCATTACATACTGACAGACTTAAACTCTTGTCAAGATGAATGAGTGTCTGTTCACTTTCTATTAAACAGGAAGAAAATAGAGCTTTTAAGCTGAAATGCTAAAGAAAGATTCTTAGAATTCCATGGACCTAAGAAGAAAAATATTGAGATTAAACAGAATCAGAACATCAAGGAAGATCGGCTCATCAATATCATTTGTCTTTCTTTTTTGGAAACTGAAATACTTTAGCCATATCACAGTGGCTTGGAAAGAGCTATGCAGGGCATACTACTAGGTAAGAGAGGTAGGGGCAGACCTGCACAAAGATGGGTACAAGATATAGAGACACCCTGGGCAGGAGATGGTGAGGGAATCCAGTTTCCTTCAGGCAGGCTGTGATAAAAGAAACGTTATGCAAGGGACCTGGTACATGATGATGATGATAACAGGTTGGAATATTAAAGTGCTCATCCTAAGCTTTGTTCTCTGGTTCTTCTTCACGCTCACCGGCTGTAAACTCTGGTGGAAAGTTCTGGTTGTTTGTCCACTTCTAGACTCTAGTCCGGTTTCAGAAACTGAATGTTGCATGCATTATCCTTTTACAGGTCTGACCGATTTGCATGCAGACTAGGTTCCTTGCCTCTCAGGCAGATGTACTTTGACTTCGAAGGAAGCTCCCAAGTAGTCGACTCTTACGACAAGCTTGTTGGGAAGGCAGTGGGTCTGTTCTTGTTTTCTCCCAGAATGGGGCCCCGGAACCCACACGGGAAGTTCTCTGGTTCAGTAGTTACTCTGATGTCTGTTTGCCCTTGTCTTGTCTGGCTGCACACTGACAACTGAATGCATGTTGTTTCCAACAGTTTCTTTGCAATGAATACAATTTACACACTTGACACCTCTGCCAGGCTTACTCGACTCTTTGAGTCCCAAGGAGCGCATCCTACGTTCATAGGTTCCTACCTAGAAGCCCAGTAAACGCAAGATGCGCCGATTTTACGTCTCTCTTTACTACTCCTTGGGCCTGGGATGCTAAACCCTCTCGGACTCAAAGAGTTAAATCAACTATTAACATAATTCAAATAAAACAGTGAATGTATTGTTTATTACAGCAGTTAGAAATAAGTTACAACAAAAATAATAACAGAATATATGTATATTGGTCCAGCAGTGTTTCCATGGCACCTATTAAAACATTACATTTTAACTAAACATACTCGTATGTACCTTAGATATTGTTCATATGTGCAATGTTCAGATGATAATGTTCTCATATTGTGTATCAAAACTGGCAAGAACTGTTTCTGGACATGAAGTCCAATCCACAAAGAAATGATTCAATAAGCAGCTGCCATTTTTGTAACTAAGGGAAATAATCCTGGCTTTGTTATTTAAAAAAAAAAAGGGGGGGGGGGGGCAATTTTTGACTCTGAGTCATGACTGCAATAAATGACAAAACCAGATAGTGAAAAGCAGATTTGTCAAAAGAAACAAAGGATACTGGGCAACAGAACACAAGGACTGGGAGAAGATCTGCACATTTCTGTGATTGTTTGGGAAAGAGGAAGTGTCATGTTAGCCCATCAGATCTCTGAAGTGTGTGATATGCCAAGTGTGTGTGTGCACTCACAGGTAGATTGGTGAATTCTTTAGTGAAGGTCTCACTCTGAAAGATTAAGCCACAAATGACTAAAACATCCTAGCTGCCAACTGTTAACATAATTTCTTTTTGTCAATTCCTATACATTTAATAAAAATGTATTATTTATTTGTTTAGTGTTATCCTATTGACATTTATAGGGAGCAGAAAACAGCACAAAGTATATTATCAACAGAAAAACGGTCTGTCGATGAATATTTAACATACAACTTTCATGATGATGTTCTGAAGTAAACAGAATAAATTATAGTGTATTATAATTTCTTTGACACAGTACACATCTAAACTTTATAAATAAAAATGTACTATTTTCTGTTTGTTTCGCTTCTAATTTAACATTTGTCATTGTTGCACATACACATGAATGGAAAAAGGTCGCCAATCATAGAGATGAGTGGAGGCAGATGATATTTGCAGAAATAAACCTCAAGCCCTCAGAATGCTGAAGAAGCAACATTTACTGAAAATATGAACAGGAAAATTGCTGCTCACTGTGGAGCTCATAAATATAAATACAAAACATAATGTGAACATCCAACAAAATTGTAATTTTACAATGAAAGAGTAGGTGTGCTCAATGTTACGTGATCCTTATGGAAAGTTTTTTTAGTATAGAATTAGTTTCTTTGTTGTAGTAGCTGCTGTGATTTTCAAAACTGATATTATTTTATGTCACTTTACATGACAAACAACTGTGTTTGTGAAGTTACTAATTACAAGTATTTTAATCTAACAGAGACAGCTGATTAAAATAAATATGAAAGCAATAACAAAATATTCATATATTATGAATGGTATCAATGACTGTGATCAGAGTCATGAAAGATACATAGAAAAAATGCATAGTGTCACAAGTGTGCTCCTTCTGGCTGAAGGATATAGGTAACATTTCTAGCTGTAAATGCACATCACTGGCAACTTTCCATCCTGGTTAGAGAAAGATTTTATTGTTTAGAGTTTGGAACAGGGCATAATATGTATTAGCTGATATGCTACCCAGTACACAATCTTGCCGGTTAAACATGCTTGGATTATTGACACAGGACCTGACAAGCATTGGGTATTGTGCTGCCCAACATTTATCATACTTTTAGAGACTATAGAAGACATTTTTCTTTGAAACATTATTTCCAAAATTCAGGTGTGCCTTGTACTGGAAATGAATATCTGATCTCCAATGTTTGAAATCAAATTTCAAGTTTGCTGCCAGTCCTAAGAGATCTATATTTCTGATCCTGAGGGAAATTTATTTGTATTGGTGTTTAACTGCCATCGAAATCTGACTGCTAAATAAAGGGGCTTATTCAGTTCCATGTTGAACGTTGAATTAGGAATTGACATCACAGCCCTTGGGACACCTCCATAAGTGCAATGTCCCTATTTTCAGCATCAAGCAAAAAGTTAAAACTCTGATGGTACCTGTAACTGTATGATTGTATATCTGTCTCGCCCTTTCCCTGAGTGTCAAGCATCGGCCAGATCCCCTTGTAACTCCTTGCAGTGCCATTCTCCTCAGTCCATAATCTATATGTGCACTGTTCACTTGCTCCCAAAGGGCCCTCACAACATCCAGCTTGTCATGCATCAGTTAACCACCAAATGGTGCATAACCAGCCAGTCTATCTGCCTGTTATTTTCCTACAACACCGGCATTCCCTGGAAAAAATATCCAAAGAATGCCAACTACCTTGGACATTTGAATTGATGTTTGCCAGTTATAGTACACAGTGAACATTCATGACTCTATAAGAATAGCAGTAGCGTGTTTAGGAGGTGCATTTATGGTAAATTTATAAGTGAACAAATTTAGCTTGTTAGTCCCAACACATTTTTTATATAATAGATCAACTCTTGTAATTTTTTTTGTTTTTTTGTTTACTTCTGGATTCTTGAAGTGGGTATGACTTGTATTATCTGATATGCTACCAAACATGTAGAAATGCCATTTCAACACATCTAATTATTGGCTTGGATTCCTGAACCCGTATTAGAACCTGTATTAACTCATGTTAAAAACAAATTAGGATTACCACTGTTTATCTGTTTTCGGAGAAGGAGTGAACACAAAACTAGGAAGCTCGGCTGATGCAAAAACACACAGATACAAGCAAATGTTTAGACCAAAGTCTTTATCAACTAACAAAACATCACAAACACTTAGTTACAAAACCAAAATAGCATAACCACACAGAAAAATCATTCATTTAACTATTAAAAGAATAACATTCCTAGCTTGAAATAGTTTGTGGTATCTGATATGCTACCCGACATACAGAGATGCCAGTTCAACATCTCATATATGACTGCTTGAACTATCAGTTCAATTGTTTGTCAATCCTAGAGAGCTCCGACAGCTGATTGATTAAACCTCCCTGTTTTTAGTTTCATTGATTAAATCAGTCAAACAAAGAACCTTCTTCACATCAATGGTTCCACGGCCATGTGGTGCTAAGACTCAAATGTGTACACAGCTACTGACTACACTGTTGTAAACAAGTTCATACTTCCAGCCACTGTACACCTAACCTGCATTGTTTCTGGTCTCTCATTAAGACAGTTATTCTATTAACTCTCGTTTACCCACAAACATTTTATTTTAAAGCAACTATTTGGGGCACAGATAGTCAAGTTCACATGTAGATAACAGCATTAAAAGAAACAAAGTTAGTTGTGTGTACACAATGCTGCCATGGGTACCCATGTGACAAAAGGAGCAACTATTTGTACAGCAGACAACATTGCAGATAATCTATTTCAAGTGAACAAAAGAAGTATGCCAGTCATGAGTTGATACAATTGGCTAGCTATAATTTACAGCACAATACACTGTTACAGTAAATGTTTTCAAACAAATATCTACCACACAAACAACTAGTGCACACCGTTTTCTTTAGAAGTCTTACTGTCTCCATTTGTATTACCATTTGGCACTAAGGATTTCACAATTTGTTTCATTAATAATTTAAGCTGCAACAAATAATTCCATTTTTCTAGCAAGAGAACTCCACCAAACCAGAATAATGTTTTAACAGTAGCTAGTGTCTCAACTGGACTAATGGTAGCCAGATTAAAACTATACTACTTGTGACTAGATGAATCTAAGATTAACACAGCTAGACTTTTACTAGAATAATAATATCTGCACTGAAGCCTGACCAATAATTGCTTAATTCATGATTATCAATAAAAGTAAATACTGCCTATATCATATACATCTGGTTTGATCTATGATAATGAGATAATGATAATAGCTATGTTAATGTTAGCTGCAATATTCTTAGGTAAATTATAGTTTCACAAAAATGTGTTAACTAAACTATATAAATGTTTATAAATAATACTTAATTAATGTTAATAGACAGATAAATGCTAAACTGTTCTAGAAGAATGCTCATAGTAGTTTCTAGCAATAACTGAATGAATACATGACCAATATTTGTTATTCTGACAGATCTCAGCCAGATTTTTGCTCGGGAAATAATAACAAAAATAATAATTTACTGCAGAATTATAACAGCTAGATGAAGATAAGAAAGTCGAAGGGGAAGAGAGGCAAGAGGTGACTAAGACAGAAAATGTTAGACGTTGTGTTATCATGGATAAGAGGACCCATCTATATTAGGAATGACTGCAGTGCTGAAGAAAGAAGACTGGACAGACATGGTATCCAATGCCAAAGAAGAATGCTAGACTAGCAACAGCCAGATGAATCCTAATGGTTGCATCAATGCTGGAGAAAGAAGACTGGACAGAATGGTATTTAATGCCAAAGAAGAATGCTAGACTAGCAACAGCCAGATGGTTGCATCAATGCTGGAGCAATTACATCCAGGTCAAAACTTATCAAGAATTCCAGCAACAAAGTTCAACCAGTAACATAAACATTCTCAAACCGTGAACCATTTCTGCTGCCAGAAACGACTGCCTGTACAGTAGTCATGCTAGAACCATATGGTTACTACATTTAGCACACAAAAAGTATTGATAATGTTACACATAAACATGATGAAAGTCAGCATAAATATAGACATGGTTGTGGAGGGTTGTATGAGTCCAGGACGTGTGGTTGGCGCCTGCTGCCTTGTGTTGGTCACGGTTCTGGGATGTAGAGTTAGTGGTCCATAAGGGCTGCAGCCCCGCGTGCAGGCTAGAACAAGCCTTTCTTGGATTTCTTACTGAAAACAGATAATGGTGATTTAGTGACATGAATTCTAAATAAATTATCTTCCAGAATGAAAACTGCACAACAGTGAACATAATGCTACAAGAATTAATTCTATACCTCAAACATATACACTTTACTAGAAGAACAGTATTTGATGTAGCTTTGTATTTGATCAATACAAGGTAACAACATTTCACATAATTTCTATAATTATAAAATTTGTATAATGCTTTAGGACCTCCAGGTAGACTCAGCCCTACATGGGTACAGGAAATGTCATGGGAAGTAAAGGTGACTGGCATGGTGGTTACCTACTGAGTGCAGACTGATCTCTGAAAATATGCATTAAGCACCAAATGTCTGTTGTGTCAATTATGTCCAAAGGATCCTGTATCTTACAAATAAATATGCCTGTTTTACATATAATTTTTTGTGTGTGAACAAATATTTGGCTAAAATGTTTGTATTTTGTACAAGAAACACTTGCATTCAGGTGGGGGATTGAGCCTTGAGGATTGTGTTCTCGATGGAAGTGTTCCAATGGCTGCCTTGATGTGAGTTAAGTACATCCTGTATCTGGTTGTTCTGTTTGACTTCCAGTTTTTGCAAAGTAGTCTGCTCTTTCTGCCTTATAATGTGGCAGTGGCCTAGGATCCACTGGAGCACAGTCGCATTAGTTAGATGACCCATTTCATTCAGCAAATATCTCAGCTCGTTGACTGTAGTTAGTTGCTTATTGCAATAGTGAACGAGCATCTGTCAATACCATTTCTGACTCAAAGCTACATTCATTAAGTAATACAGATACTGCTTCCTGCAGTGTCACTGCCTCTACTTCGTAATTAGAGAGGTGTTTTCCTTATTAAGGAAACTAATATTCTATAATACGGCCTCATTGGTTCATTGAGTATGAATTCCTCTTCCTCTATTCCTTACAGTTTTCTTTGCTGAGCCATCCAGGAATACCCACATCCATCCGTTTTTGGGACAGTTTTGTTCTAATATCTGACTGATGACTGTCTGCATTTCTCAGGCAGTTTGTTCTCCTATGGTGTCTCTGATTTTTTGGTGGGGGGGCGGGGGGGGGGGGGGGGGGGGGTGGTGGTAACTGAAGTCACATGATGAGCATTCAGGATAAGTAGAACATTTGGGGGCAAAAGAGGGGGGGGGGGGGGGGGGTAAGGAAGTGGCAGCTCATATTTCATATGTAATTCTCTGGCTATCTGGATGCAGTTAATTCTCTGGCTATCTGGATGAAGTTAATTCTCTGGCTATCTGGATGAAGTTAATTTTTATAAACAAGAGGTCTGTGATCTAAATATTAAATAGTTCCTTATGCATGGGGTATTATTTTAGCGCAATGAAGTTTGGAAATCTGTGAATGTTTCTTGTCTTTGATGGACTGCAAGCCTCACCTTGTTTCCATTGCTGCAATTTGTACTGAGCAAAGGCCACCAGTCATACCTCAGAGGTTTAGGTTTTGTCATTTTGCAGTTTTCTGAAAGAGCTTCAGATGTTTCCTCCATACTGATATACATTATTCTAATACTGGGTGAACACATCTAGTGTAGGTTTTTAGTACTTGGGGGGAAGCTCCCCACTCTGTTCCTATTTTTTTTTAACAAGGTGATTCATTGCACTTCCTTGTTTTTTTAAGGGTTTTGTTAACTTGAAACTTCCATATTAGCTCTGAGTCAAAGTTAACATCTAAACAAGTGGGTTCACTGTAAAATGTGTTCAAAATGTAAATAAGCACATACTCTCTACAGGAGGGCTATTGAACTAACTTGACACAGGGGCCAACATTTTCATCACGGGCCAGAAGCCCCAGTATAGAAAGACCATAAATGCGATTCAACTAGCAGTGATCTGCGGGCCACTTGCTAGGTCCTGGCCAGCTGCTCTACAGGTTCAAAAGGTTCTTTTTCTTCTTCTTCACTTCCTCTTTTACCGCTGTGGGTGTCGAGGGAGATAAAGGTTCTGTTTCTAGCTCTTCTGGACGCCTCGACCATAGGCACATCGTGCTGTTGTAAGAGTTTTTCTGATGTTATCCTTCCATGTTGTTCTTGGTCTACCTCGTGCTCTACGTCCTTCTTCTCTTTCCATGTATGCTTTGTATGGTATGGTGTCACAAGGCATTCTCTCTAAGTGGGCAAACCATTTCACTTGCTGTCTTCGTATGTAATCCAGAATTGGTTCTGTGCCGACTTTTTCTCTTATGATCTCATTCCAGATCTTATCTCTTATGGTCACTCCTACAGCCCTTCTCAGACATCTCATTTCCGTGGTTACTAATTTTCTTTTATGGTTTGTTGTGAGTGACCATGTCTGGCACTGGTAGCACAGAGTTGGAATAAATATGCTTTGAATAAGATGTCTCTTTGTGCTGATTGGGATTGTCTTATGCTGTAAGAGGGGAGCTAGCTGTCCCAATACTTCAAAAGGTTAATATACACACAATAAATGAGACAGAACATCTTGTTACACAAATATAAGGAGCGTTCATTTAAAAACTGTTCATGCCCCACCACGTTTAACATGATCACGTCACAGTCACATGACAAGTACTGATCAATGAATAAAAGAGCACATGCTTATTGTCCCATGATGCATAGGTTCTGAGCAGATAGTGGTACACAGGTCACACCATGGAAGAGAACAGGAGCTTGACCATATAATATTCTCTAAGGCAACAGTGGTATACTGTAGCCAACCTCCATTGTGAAAGTTTTTTGTCTACAATTTCTTAAACAAAAATTAGTTGCGAAATAAAAAATGTTAGCATGCCACTGTATGAAAGTATGGACCGGTCGGCTAGACCCAGAGAAATGAAACTCATTTCACTTCTGATATAAACAGGCTGAGCTAGTAAACAGGGATGATAGATGTACCTCAGTATCAACACAAAGTTAATGACACCCAAATAAACATGCATCTCTAGAATAGTTTCCCTATTATTAAATTGTTTACCCTTATTTGATCTGCAAGCCGTCATGAGCTATTATTGTTTAAGTGTCTTGAGAGAAAGAGATGGTGCAATGTGTGCAGCTATAATAGAGCACTGAATGGAGGACAATGTAGACCACTAGAACATCTCTGATGTTTACAGAGCCGTAATAGGAAATTTGGTGCAAGTGAAACTTGTTTACATGACTGGCAGAAAATGACATTCTACAAACAAGTCAAAGACAGAAAATGATGCACAAGTTTCACAAAAAATATGACACAATAATTGTGTCAAATCGGGAAAACGTAGAAATAAATATATACTGTTAAAAAGAGAAGAAATGCATGGCTACTGACAGGAACCTAATTTTGACATTCAAAATCTTTTGTAATTTAATGAAGGAAACCATTCAAACTGCACAAAATTGACGCTTCTTTTGCATCTGAGTCATCGACAGTTATTAGATATACAGGTTTTCACGTCAACTAATAAAAATGCACAATCAAATAATTATGCAGTTTTTTTTTCGGTCTCTCTCTCTCTCTCTCTCTCTCTCTCTCTCTGTGTGTGTGTGTGTCTGTGTGCCAGACAAAGAAAGACAGAGCCAAATATGGACTTGTTAATGGTTATAAGCATTAGGAGAAAGGAGGGTGCCAACAGTAAAACAATAAAGAACAAGAAAACATTGTTATTAGACCATGGCATCCACAATATTTTTGATCCCAACTGATAAACACATCCGGCAGTGGTAGTTGAGTAGGTCTAGATGCATGTGATAATCTATAAATGACATGTGAATGTGTATGTCAATCAGGTTGTGAATGTATATGTCAGTCAGGCTGTGAATGTATATGTCAATCAGGTTGTGAATGTGTATGTCAATCAGGTTGTGAATGTGTATGTCAATCAGGTTGTGAATGTGTATGTCAATCAGGCTGTGAATGTGTATGTAAATCAGGTTGTGAATGTCTATGTCAATCAGGCTGTGAATGTATATGTCAATCAGGCTGTGAATGTATATGTCAATCAGGCTGTTAATGTATATGTCAATCAGGTTGTGAATGTCTATGTCAATCAGGCTGTGAATGTATATGTCAATCAGGTTGTGAATGTGTATGTCAATCAGGTTGTGAATGTGTATGTCAATCAGGTTGTGAATGCGTATGTCAATCAGGCTGTTAATGTATATGTCAATCAGGTTGTGAATGTGTATGTCAATCAGGTTGTGAATGTGTATGTCAATCAGGTTGTGAATGTGTATGTCAATCAGGTTGTGAATGTGTATGTCAATCAGGTTGTGAATGTGTATGTCAATCAGGTTGTGAATGTGTATGTCACAGTCAGGCTGTAAATGTGTATGTCAATCAGGCTGTGAATGTGTATGTCAAGCAGGTTATGAATGTGTATCTCAATTAGGTTGTGAATGCGTATGTCAATCAGGTTGTGAATGCGTATGTCAATCAGGTTGTGAATGTGTTTGTCAATCAGGTTGTGAATGTGTAAGTCAATCAGGCTGTGAATGTATATGTCAATCAGGCTGTGAATGCATATGTCAATCAGGCTGTGAATGTGTATGTAAATCAGGTTGTGAATGTGTATGTCAGTCAGGCTGTAAATGTGTAAGTCACAGTCAGGCTGTGAATGTGTATGTCAATCAGGCTGTGAATGTGTATGTCACAGTCAGGTTGTGAGTGTGTATGTCACAGTCAGGCTGTGAATGTGTATGTCAATCAGGTATCCAGAGAAATAATCATAAAGTGTGTGTTAGAGTAAGCAGCTCTAGTTATAGTACTGTCCCCTTCATTTATGAAATTCTACAGACAAGACACCGACACTCTACTTCATCAAAACTGTGTTCATAACTGGATGTGTCAGGAATTCCCCCCAATGTCAGTCAGTCGGTCAACCAATGCAGAACTTTCACCTGCATGCTTTATTGTTCTCCTATCCAGTGCTGAATGCCTCTTTAATAATTTTATAAACTGTCCAGAATGAAGTTCACAAATTATAGAGGACAAAGATTATCACAAGTAATTAATACTGATTAACCATCAAAGATGCACTGGTATTCAAGCAAAAATTGAAAAAATATGTCCAATATATCATAACAAAACTAATCAGTAGACCATATATTAATAATACCAATTTAAACAGGGAAAATCAGTTTGCTAATTGTTAGAAAAATAACATGTAACAAATTTAACTGAACTATAACAATTATATTAATAAAATAACACAGTCACAAGAAAATTAACAAAAACGCCAGAAAGTAAAGTCTACAATTCGATGCAGGAATTAGAATATGAACTGAACATAACAGAAATAAGGAGGAATAAGAAAATGGTGGAACCTAAAGATGCATCCATCTCATCCCTCGTGACAGCGGAGACCTGTGCCACAAATACAGAATATCATGACATCAATACCAAATTTATATTGCCTTTCAGAAATTGTTTCCATGTTATGTTTTATATAGTTTAAGTCAATTGTTGTTTTCTTTTCTGCTGACTAAAGGTAACTATCATTACACCATTTCTACCATTGCTGGCATTCAAGCAGTGTTGTACAAGAAAGGCTGATTGTGCTAGAGCAGCTGCAACATTGTCTCAGATTTATTATTTTTCCTTGGAAAGAGAGAAGTCATTTTTGTCACCAGGGTCTTCTGTCTGGGGTATTGATTTTCTCTCCTCAAACACTTTTCTTTACTTGATAAGTCTTGCTATTCTGACGTCAGCATAGTATTTCTGAATGATGAACTGATCAGTAATTGTCACATCAATTTTGCAATTCAAATAATTTCTCCTGGGAAGGCTAACCTGGTGAACAAATACCCGATGAAGTCAGATGTGTCGACCAAAAGATAAAATATCGCGGCTATGCTGTAAACAGGCAAAATGCAAATTATGTCACTCGAACAAACAATGAAAAAAGAAATAATGTCTCAGTAGTTACAAAGAAGTGCCCCTTCTTCTGGCACAGGGATCATGTCCCTGGTCATAATTTTGAACTTTCTCTTTAAATTAAGTAGGTCTTCATAGAGGACTAAACAAAAGTCCTACAACTAAAAGATAAAGGACAACTCATGGCAGACCCTTTTAAAAGGTTGTGATGTGATAGCCCATATATGGTAGAGGAGGGTATTATAAGATGGAATGACCAGTTTCCATCATCATTACTGTTTTGTTCCTGAGAAACCAACAGTATTCATTTTTATGACAACAAAAGAAACAGCCCAGAACTATGTAAATCATAAACAAACATTAATTTTCATGTATGTCTATAGCATTTGGCAGTAATTATTTAGACCAAAGTGTTTAAAATGAGATATAATCTTAATAGTTAGCTTAGCCTAGTTCGATCCCAGCTGTGGCAATGGTTTCAACAGTGGTCCTGAGAGCTGACCGTTCAGCAAGAAATAGCAAGCTAATGAATGTAAAATTTGCCTAGAACAGAACAGCCAAAAAATGCTGGGCTTGGTTCTGCAACGTTCTGTATAGGATATGCAGCTAACCCTTAACTTATTCAACTTATAAGTTGAAAAATATAAAAGTACTAGCTGTACTCGGCCACGCGTTGCTGTGGCATAGTTTGGCTAAATGGAAATGAAAGAAAATAGAAATCGCACGTGTCTAATACAATCATTGTCTGCTCAGATATAGAGATAGTCTTTGATCCCCACCCCACCACCCCCCCCCCCCACCCCCAACTAAATCCACCTACTACCCTCCCCCTTATCAAATTTATGTCATAACCCCCCCCCCCCCCTCTTCCACCGACTAAGGCTTTCACCCTCTTCGAAATATTTGAAAATCATTACCTGGCGATATTTTGTTGTTGCTGTAACTGACATTGACATCCCTGTCCATCTGGACTAAAATGGGGAGCAGGAATTGTAATAGGTAGTGAATGGGGCTAGTGTAATATTTACCACATCATCCTTCAAGTACCAGTACAACTACTAAAATAATGTCACTGCTATCTGTGTTACCATCGGAGTAGACAGAGAGTCGTGAGCCAGAAGATTTGGTTCCACATGGCTAGTGCTGTCGCCATAGACTGGTCAGGTTAGGATGTATAATTTCACTTGCCGACAGAAGAACGCCATAACCTTACCGGCGGTCTTCACATGAGAGCACTATGGTGTAACAGCCCTGGTGTAACAACTATTACTGCTGCTGCCACTTTAAGTGGGTAAAGCAGTTACTGTGACTTAAAGCTCTCTCAGTTAATAGTTTGCCCCCCCCCCCCCCCCCCCCCCCCCCCCCGCCTCTCCCCCAAAATTCACCGACAACTCTTTCCCTCATTGAAGTAGTTGGGAAAAAAAAAAACACTTGAAAAGCAAACGAACACAGGAAAAAAACACCATAATTAGGAAATGAATGCCATTGTAAACAGCACAGCTTAAAATTCCAACACAGATGAAATAACTAAATCTAAATGAAAATAAATGAAAATCTATAAAATTTCAGCGTAACCATGCAATCGGAAAGTTTAACAATGCAATCATAAGTATGCTAAATGGTCAAATTTAATTATCAAATGGTTTACCCATTTACTTGTTTTTTTTTTTTTTTTTTTTTTTTTTAAATATTAAGGCAACATGGCTAGTGCTGTCACCTCGGCAGAGCAGATGAGGATATTATTTTAGTCCGGGGCAAAAAAAAATTTAACGGCTGCGGATTTGAACCCAGGTCTACCGCACATGAACCCAGTGTTCTAACCATTCGACCAAGCAGCCACTTAATCGGAACAACGAAAAGAGAACTCAACTATTAGACATGTGAGTCCATACTACTGTGTCGCGATTAAAACACAATTCAAAACCGCAGGCAATTGTTTTCTCGTAGACAGATACTCCAGATATATTAATGAAATAGAAATCGCACGTGTCTAACACGGTTAATGAAGTTAATGTCGCAGTCACTGTCTGCGCCGACGTCGAGATAGTCCTTGATTGCCCCCCCCCCCCCTCCCCCATCGAAGGTTGTTTGAAAAAAAAACAGAAAATAGAAATCGTGTTTAATATGGTTATTGTGGCAAATATAGAGATAGTCTTGTTTGCTGTACCACGACCTACTCTATGTATTAGTATTAGAGAAGGCATTGGTTGCACGTAACTCGCCGGCGAATGGTAAATACGGCGCATGCGCAATTACTAACGTGGCTATAATTAGAAATCACTAAAGTTATAAATATTAGTTGCGTATATTTTTGCATAAATTGTGGTCACCTATCTCTAACAGTGACAGGTTGAATTTCAAACCACGACAGTTCAAAATCCGGTATCACAACAAACATCGGCTCAGTAGTTTCCGAGTCTATAGGGGTGAAACAAACACACAAACATTGATTTTTATATATATATATTATAAAATATTTTATCTCTCAAATAATTAAGCTTAATTGCTTCAATAATAAAGATAAATGGCTTATATACTAACACAAAATATTGTTATATTCTAATCATTAAAATATGAATGTAATGAAAGGAAGACAATAATTAAATAAATAAATAACCAGAAAACAAACATAATTACAGGAATAAATTTTCACTAGATAAGAAAAAGTTTCACTCACTCTTTCTGATTCTCTAATGAGCGCCTCCTCTCTCCCCACTGCTCCTCCCAGGCAGCTTTCTCTTTCTCAAACTCTTTCCACTTGTCATCCAGCTCCTTCTGCTGTTGCTCCAAACTCTTCTTCATCTGCTCCGAGCGTTTTTGAAGCTGGTAACAATGAAGGAAAGATGTTTTGCCATGGAAGTGCAATCGCAAACACAATGAACAGAATGCAAAACATAGGCATTCACAAATAAATGTGAAGTCACCAATAATGAACAGAGATTAACTCACAACCAAGAATAATGAAAATAACTAATTAAGTCACTTAAAAATCAAGTTAATACACATAATTAACACAGTTTAGTTACCATGAAAATCCGATTTAAACACACACACACAAATCCCATAACCAAGTTAATGCAATAAACAAATGACAATTTAATTCATTTAACAAAACAAAATACACACAAATCTATGTTAATGGAGTATCATTATCATCATCAAGTGCCTTGCTCTCTGGGTGGGCAATAATGCTTCTCCATATCTTGTCATTTCCAACAGCTGTGTACCCACTTATCTGTTGAAACCATTGGATACCAGGACAAAAGCTGTCAGGGTTTTCTTTTTCTGTCTCTATTTCCATAAATCTTTCTACCTGCCATATGTTCCCTCGTCTAATAACGTGGCCCCCCCCCCCCCCCCCCCCCCCCCCCTACCCCCAAATAATGAATGCCTCTTTTTAATGCCAGTGATAAGTTGTCTTTCTGAGCCTCATGCTTACATCAACAATACTCTTCTTTTGTAAAACTCCATCTCCAGGTCTTCAAGGAAAATTGCTGGTTTGTTTACAGCTTTATGTTCAAACCAGCTCAGTACAACAAACCAAAAGTTCATTTTCTAACCTTCCATGGCTGGGATTGGTTGCATCAAATATCTTTATGTTGTAAACTCCAGTTGTTGTGTAAGGGACTACATATTTTACTATTGTTGTTATTGATTCAACAGTGCCTTCGGCCACATAAACCAATAAAAACAAACAAATAATAATATGTTTTTACAAACACACACACATACTAACACATGTGAACACACACAGATCTGTACACAATTCCTAATGATATATGGCAACACATTTTCGTTAATGTTTACAATTCTGGTTTGCAGATATTATGAACTGTATCTCTGAGATATTATTCAAAACTATAAACTAACTTCTGAGATATTATCAAAACTATGAACTAATTTAAGATATAAACATGTGACTGTCATGTCTACATCATCAATCAGGTGCCATCTCCACACTGAAGACTGGCTGCAATGAATCTCCAACACACTCTGTCTCTTATCTCGGTTACAGGCTCTTTCAGACTGCTGTTCATCCTTCTCTTGATGTTGTTGTCTTACTTGTAACATTGTCTACCTCTCACTCTCTTGCCTTTGACTTTTCCTTCCAGTACTGTCTTTAAAAGCATGTTATGCCCTTTAATGTGGCCAAAGTATTTCAAGTGTTTCTTTTTTTTCTTTCAGTAATTCTCTTTTCATTTGTAGTATTTCTAAACCACTGTATTTGATTGTTTTTGTTTCCATGAAATATGACCACTTCTCCTGTATATCCACACGTACATTTTCTAGGTGCCTGTTCATTGTTCAAGGTTGTGCACCAACAGCAGGGTTGAGTATTCATGACATTTAATGATTCGCATGTTAAATGTGTTTTGTCTCTCTAGCTGTTAATAATTTGTGTATATTATTGAAGTGGGAAAAAAGCGTGCTTAAGATCAGTTTATATTGTCCTTAAAAACAATTTAAAAAAGGAAACCTCAAATTATGTGACAATTATCGTACTATAGCTCTAATTTGTCATCCCAACAAAATCCTTCTGCAGGTCATCTTGAGGAGAATCGAGAATAAATTGGAATATGAATTACCTACAAGAAGCACAAGCGGGATTTAGACAGGGCAGAGGAACAAGAGACCATATTTTCAATATGAGAATCATCCTAGAGAAGTGTAGAGAATACAAGATAGATCTTCATACTTGTTTCACTGACTACAGCAAGGCATTTGACTGTGTGCACTATCATAAACTGTAGCATATAATGAGAGGCATAGGATTTCCAAAACATCTAGTGCACTTTAAGGAATCTCTTTACCATGAACAACAAGCAGCAGAGTAGCTGACTCCACTGTCTGTGGAGGCTAACATCAAGACAAAGTTTACTGAGCCTGCAACCTCTATGCTTCAGGTGTGTCCACCAACCTCCATGCCCCAAGTGTGTCTGCAATCTCTATGCTCCAGGTGTGTCCACCAACCTCCATGCACCAAGTGTGCCTACAATCTCTATGCTCCAGATATGCCCACCAACCTCCATGCACCAAGTGTGCCTACAATCTCTATGCTCCAGATATGCCCACCAACCTCCATGCACCAAGTGTGCCTACAACCTCCATGCTCCAGGTGTGTCCACCAACCTCCATGCACCAAGTGTGCCTACCCTACAACCTCTATGCTTCAGGTGTGTCCACCAACCTCCATGCACCAAGTGTGCCTACAACCTCTATGCTTCAGGTGTGTCCACCAACCTCCATGCCCCAAGTGTGCCTACAACCTCTATGCTTCAGGTGTGTCCACCAACCTCCATGCACCAAGTGTGCCTACAACCTCTATGCTCCAGGTGTGTCCACCAACCTCCATGCCCCAAGTGTGTCTGCAACCTCTATGCTCCAGGTGTGTCCACCAACCTCCATGCCCCAAGTGTGCCTACAACCTCTATGCTTCAGGTGTGTCCACCAACCTCCATGCCCCAAGTGTGTCTGCAACCTCTATGCTCCAGGTGTGTCCACCAACCTCCATGCCCCAAGTGTGCCTACAACCTCTATGCTTCAGGTGTGTCCAACAACCTCCATGCACCAAGTGTGTCTGCAACCTCTATGCTCCAGATGTGCCTGCCATCCTCAATCCTCAAAGTATGTCTGCAACCTCCATGCTCCAGGTGTGACAGCCAACCCCCACGTTCCAGGTGTGACAGCCAACCCCCACGTTCCAGGTGTGACAGCCAACCCCCATGCTCAAGGTGTGTCTGTCATCTTCTAGGTTATCCTACAAATAATGGTCTAAATTATCCTGGTCAGAAATATACCCTAACAGGGCCTCATTCATTTGAAAACTGTAGACCTCTTTTTGGCGACTATACCGCCACCGCCGAGATTATCTCCAGCGCCACGCCTAGATGGCTGGGACCCACAAGCAAATAAAATGGAGGAAGCTGGAGGAAATGCAGTAGCTGCTGCTTGTGAGTCAAAGCCATCTAGTTTAGCCCTTCTCTCGGCGGTGACTTTAACTGGGCGAAAGCTTTTCCACGGTATGTGGTGTAGTCGCCGGAAAGAGGTCTGCAATTTCAATATGACTGAGGCCCTGTTAGGGTATTTTCTTAGCCTCGATAATTTAGGACCGTTTAGAGGATAGTCATCCTCCAAGTGTGTCTGCCAACTCCATACTCCAAGTGTGTCTGCCAACCTCCATTTTACAAGCATGCCTTCCAACCTCCATCCTCCAAGTGTGTCTGCCAACCTCCATTTTACAAGCATGCCTTCCAACCTCCATCCTCCAAGTGTGTCTGCCAACCTCCATTTTACAAGCATGCCTTCCAACCTCCATCCTCCAAGTGTGTCTGCCAACCTCCATGCTCCAAGCCTGCCTTCCAACCTCCATCCTCCAAGTGTGTCTGCCAACCTCCATCCTTTATCTGTGTCCTAGCCATCTGAGCCTTTACAAATATGGTGTGTTTAGTGGACAACTGGCAAAGCAGATAAATGAAGAATGAGATTGGGGGGAAAAAAAACTCTGGTAAAGCGACCAAAAAAAAAAACTCACATCGGCCTCAGAATCTTTGAGTTTCTGGCGTTTTTCCTTGACCTTCATCTCAAACACTTGCTCCATCTCAGCTTCCATCTTCTTCATCTTGGCATTATGTTCTTGTCGTTCTTCAGCCATCTGTGACATCGGGTCTCTGTCCAAACAAACAAGAACATTTAACAGACATGGAGAGAGACAAACATGATCAAATTAAATCAATTATATCCTGTCCCGTAACATTGCAGAAGGAGGTGCATGACCCCAAAGGCTTTGCTGCCAGTTGCTATGCAACAAGAGGCAGATCACACTAAACATTATACATAAGCCTCCAAGCTAACAGATAAATTTGGGACAGTCAAAAGCTAGGACAGAAAACTGAAATAAATAAATGGCTGATGACACTGGAGACACTGGAGATAAAAAAGAACAATGTAATAATAATGATATTACCAGGTGTTCCAGTTATGAAATGTAGCTTCAACATTAGCCTCCTCAGCTTGCCATTTAAAATGTGTTTAACTGTCTAGGAATTTCTTAACATGTTAAGAATGTGCACATAAACCTTCATAATTGTTGGCCCTTCTCTAAGAAGCTAGGAATTGGACTCACAACCCCAAAGATCAGGGAAGATATATCATTCTTTTCTTACTGTATAAATATAAACGGATATGTCGACAGAATAACCTGTACTAGGTCTCTTAATGACAGAAGTGGACATCAATCTTCTCGGTAACTTCTACAAAAACAGGTGATCATATTAGTTTTTACATATTGCTAAATCAACATTATTCTGGTGAATCTTCCTACCTGTGAGTTCACTAAGAATGGAAACCACTGCTGTAGAAAAAGTCATGTTTTATGACCCTGACATCTCTCCCCATCACTTGCTAATGAGAACATCATATAAAACTGACAAGTGAAAGCCACACACAAAATGGTGAAGTTAAGTCTTACTGTGTCAGAGATCCTGGCTTGATTTTTCCCTCAGCATTTGTAGGAGCCAGTTTGTTGTACCTGAAGTTCTCATAGTGAACATTGTTTGTGACATCCTTCAGGTCCTGCATGTGAGTTCTGTAACAAAAAGTCATTACAACAAAACAGGACGGCAGGAGTCACCAGAAGAGATCAAATCAAAATTAAATCACAAGGGAACAAAAGGTCGGCACAGAACCAATTCTAAATTACATAAAAAGACAGCAAATCAAATGGCCCACTTAGAGAGGATGCCTTGTGACTCCATATCATACAGAGTATTCACTAAAAAAGGATAAGGATGTAGAGAACAAGGCAGACCAAGAACAAGATGGAAAGATAACATCAGAGAAACTCTACAATAGCACAAAGTACCTATGGTCAAGGCAGTTAAAAGAGCAAGAAGCAGAACCTTTTATCTCCCTCAACACCCGAAGTGCTAAAAGAGAAATGAAGAAGAAGAAACAGCATTCAAAAGAAGAGGCACTCAATTTCAGCTCCTGCCTGTAAGTTTTGCACACACAAAAAGTCAACTATAGTGAAACAGCCTACAAGAGATGCATTGGCATGCAAGCTACTGACAAATTGGTGTCAACTTCTGAAATAAACACAGACAAGCATATCAAGCCTGTGTACCAGTTGTCCATGTTTCTAACTAAACATAACTCTGGACCTGATTTGGTGATGTAGGTGTATCGATAGAAACACTATCACACAAAACTTGCCATCTCTCTCAGCCTTCCGCTAGATGAACAAGTGTATGATAACTTAGTCCTGTCCATTTCTTGATGTTGTCATTCCAGTTTATTCGCTGTCCCCCTCTTCTTCGACTACCCCACACTGTTCCTTTAAGTTCAGTCTTTGCAATCAAATCATATCTCACCATGTGCCCGAACCAAGCTAGCTTGCGACATTTCACCACTGCTAAGAGAGGCTCCTGATGTCCTGCAAATTTGTTTATTTTGTCTTTGACATATTTATTAGTTTTTTTTTGTTCTGAATAGCTCATTTGTAAAATGAGTCTCTAACATTTACATTCCAATGCCTGAATCTTCCTTTCCATTTCCACAGTGAGAGTCCAACTCTCACATGCGTTTAAAAAAACAATAGACAACACCAGTGATTTGTAAATATGAACCTTAACAGTGATGCTGATTTTGCTCTTCTACATAGTATTTAGCTGGGACATTGTGGCTGCTGTCATATCAGGTCTTGTCTTGATCTCTTTGGTACAACTGCCGTTGTTACATATGTTGCAGCCAAGGTATTTAAAGGTTACAACTTCTTCTAGTCTTTTCCCTTTTATCTGTATGTTAGTAGGTACTTGATTATGGTGGTTATTTACTAGAAGATTGCTCTTTTCGGCATTAATTTCCACGCCATATTTGCAACAGACTGTCTCTAATTTTGTAGTAAGCTCTTAAAGTTGTGCTTCGGAACCAGCCATGAGATCAATGTCATCTGCAAAACATAAAATTGCACAGTGTCTTCCGTTAATGGATATAGATATTTCATGATTTTCTAGTGTTTCTCTCATGGTGTGCTCCAAATATAAATTGGAAAGGACAGGGGATTGTGTGCAACCCTGTCTCACTTCCACACTGGTTTTGAACAAAAAATTGCCTATGTCATTCTAAATGTACTACACTGCTTGCATCTTTACAAAGTGCTTAAACAGTGTCAATGATGCTCTTATTGAAATTTCTCATTATTTGCCAGAGCCCAGCATGCCACACACGGTCACATGCCCTCTTAAAGTCAATGAAGTAACGGAATAGGTCATGTTGATAATGTTTTCTATCATTGTTCTGATGTTGAAGATTTGTTCTGTGGTGCTTCTTTGTTTCCAGAAACCCACCTGTTCTTCGGCTAGTATTGCTTCAGATTTTGCTCTAAATCTGTTATCAGTATCTGTAACATTATTTTGCTTTTGTGGGTGGTAAGAATAACAGTTCTGTAATTGCTGCAGCTTTACAGATTTAATTTCTTTGATGGTGGTATCATCAGTCTTCTTCTTCTTCTTTCGTTCGCCTGAAATAAGTTGTCTATATCAGCAGTTTTGTCTCTTGTATAAATTTCACTGTCGTTGTTAGTTTATTCAGTGGTCCATAGAGCTTACGTTCCACTGTTCCTCTTTCTGGCCAAAAGGTTTGCCTTAATGTGTCAAATTCTGTGCAGTCCTGGAGTATATGCTCTGCTGTCAGGGGCACCTTTCCACAGGTGCACATGGCTGATACGCCTATCTTGAATTTTGTGTACATGTGGGTATCATCAGTGATTGTGTCCATTCAGTAGGCCACTTCTCTGTGACCCAAATTAGTTACGTGTTCTCCACATTTCAAAAGTAAACCTGAACTAAACACAGACAAGCAAACAAAATCAGTGTACCTAATGTCCATGTTAACAAAGCACAAACAAGCACATCAAATCTGTGTACCTGATGTCCATGTTATCTAAACACAGACAAGCATATCAAATCTGTGTACCAGACGTCCATGTTAACTAAACACAAACAAGAACAACTAATCAGTGTACCTGATGTCCATGTTAACTAAGCACAAACAAGAACATCTAATCAGTGTACCTGATGTCCATGTTAACTAAGCACAAACAAGAACATCTAATCAGTATACCTGATGTCCATGTTAACTAAACACAAACAAGCACATCTAATCAGTGTACCTGATGTCCATGTTAACTAAACACAAACAAGAACATCTAATCAGTATACCTGATGCCCATGTTAACTAAGCACAAACAAGCACATCAAATCTGTGTACCTGATGTCCATGTTAACTAAGCACAAACAAGAACATCTAATCAGTGTACCTGATGTCCATGTTAACTAAGCACAAACAAGAACATCTAATCAGTGTACCTGATGTCCATGTTAACTAAGCACAAACAAGCACATCAAATCTGTGTACCTGATGTCCATGTTAACTAAGCACAAACAAGAACATCTAATCAGTGTACCTGATGTCCATGTTAACTAAACACAGACAAGCACATCAAGTCTGTGTACTAGATGTCCACGTTAACTAAACACAAACAAGCACATCAAATCGGTGTACCTGATGTCCATGTTAACTAAACACAAACAAGCACATCAAATCTGTGTACCTGATGTTCATGTTAACTAAACGCAGTCAAGCACATCAAGTCAGTGTACCTGATGTCCATGTTAACTAAATACAGACAAGCACATCAAATCTGTGTACCAGACGTCCATGTTAACTAAACACAGACAAGTACACCAAGTCTGTGTACCAGATGTCCATGTTAACTAAACACAAACAAGCACATCAAGTCAGTGTACCTGATGTCTATGTTAACTAAACACAAACAAGCACATCAAATCTGTGTACCAGATATCCATGTTAACTAAACACAGACAAGCACATCAAATCTGTGTACCAGACGTCCATGTTAACTAAACACAGACAAGTACACCAAGTCTGTGTACCAGATGTCCATGTTAACTAAACACAAACAAGCACATCAAGTCAGTGTACCTGATGTCTATGTTAACTAAACACAAACAAGCACATCAAATCTGTGTACCAGATATCCATGTTAACTAAACACAGACAAGCACATCAAATCTGTGTACCAGATGTCCATGTTAACTAAACACAAATAAGCACATCAAATCTGTGTACCAGATGTCCATGTTAAATAAACACAGACAAGTAAACTAAATCAGTGTACCTGATGACCATGTTTCTAAGGGCAATAAAATCATTGTGTTCCAAGTTCTCCACTTCCACAATGCCCCATGGATACTGGCGACCTCTGACTCGTTTTCCTCCAACTTCAATAATTCTGTTGCTGCCAACTACAGCAAATGGAACACGATCCTAAAACACAAATCAGATACGCAGCATGTGCTTCAAAGAAACAAGGATTCTGCAATTTATTAAGGTTCTTACACAAAGGAAAAGTGAAGTTTCTACATGTTGTGATACTCACTGAAAGGTTTTCTCCTAGGGTTTTGAACATCTTCCAGACTAAACAATACCAACAACATGAACATATTGCACTTATGTTTTCTAATTCTGTAGGAAAATATCTGTACAGTAAACTAGCATTATAAACTGTGTTTTCTTTTCATTGTGCAGAGCTCAGCTGTGACAGGTAGGTCAATCAAAAAAAGGGGAGGGTGTGTCAAAAATAGGCAGTAAGAGAGGGGGAGAGGAGGAAAGAGAGTAGGAAAGATAGAGGATATGGAAGAGGCAGGAAATTAGGGAACAAGAGACACACAGAAAGACAGAGAAAGAATACTGTACATATGTGAAAGTCACATTTAAGAAAGTCATCAACCAGGATAAAATGTTGAATGTCTGCTGCAAAACAAACTTTAATTTTTAAATACTTTTATTTAATATACTTATGGTACCCTGTATGTAGCATTTCTTCTATCAAACAGAAAGTTACAGTTCCTGGCTACTACAGCACTCGATTTTAGGTTGTCTGCTATCTATAAACTTGACATTTTGTGCTTAGAAACATTTATGAATATAAATCTTTTGTCACTAATGTGCTTCTTTGGAACAAAGTTATGGCAATTAACAGCACAGATTAAAGTCATTAAAAATATACTACACAACAATCAGCTTACAATTACATTTCTACATGTAAAGGAAGACAATGTAGCTAAAGATATTTCGATTTTGTAAATAAAGTGTAATCCTCTAACAGTAATCCATATGTGTTCAGTGTTTAGATACATTTGTGGAAGCAGGACAGAATGACACAACTGATGACCACCATAAACTCTGTCAGCATAAAGCAAACATGAATGGAAAGGTCAGATGTTTTAAACTGAAAATAAATATGAACAAAACTATGTTCTTCACAAGACTAATATGTTTCTGCTAGTTTATGAATCAAAATCATACCCTCAACTTCTTCTGTACTTTCATCTCCTCCTCATCATCACAGTCTGGGAACTCATAAATTCTGATCTTGTGCTGGGCTATCTCATTCAGAATCTGAGAACAAAGGGTCAAATAGTTCATTCTGACACTGTAATAACAACTTTGTTGTTGATATTTATGAAGCTGTGACAGAGAAATGTCAACAACACAGCTGATGTTCAATAAATGGCGATATCTAATTTGATAACAACTGTTTTTTTTTTTTTATGGCTAGTTTCCTTTGTTTCTATTCACTTATGGTGTTAATTTAGGGCTTGTTTAAAAAATTATATTAAAGGACAGGAGTAAATTCAAATGGAAGATGCATCATAGAAAAGTAAGCAAAATATCCAAAATACAAATGACACTTTCTGCTAGAAAATGAGTTGTTGGGACTGGCTACATCAGTTTGTAGGGAACCTTGATGATTAGTATTCAGTTTCTATTTGTACATGTATCCGATGCTGAGAGGAGATCAGACAATGAGTTAAGAGATTCTGACAATGATTATGAATAAGCTGATTATTCTTCTTCTTCTCTTTTCTTCTTGTGCGCAGAATGTGCCACAGGTGGTTATGCATCTCTCTAGTTTAGGAGTCAAGACACAGCACTTAAATGTATATATAACATTCCATTTAAAAAATAAAACAAAAATTAAAAATCACTGCTTTTGCAACAGATGGACACAAAAATTACTGAACATGATGCAAAATACAGGAAGCAGAGAAAAATGTCTCACTGTCTTCTTGAACTCGCGGCACTCATCAGGTGACAAAGTGTCTGCCTTGGCAATCAGTGGAATGATGTTCACCTTGTCATGTAACCTTTTCATAAACTCTACATCCAATGGCTTGAGTCTGGAAGAGAAACAGATATGAGAAAATGTTAAGAGGGCAGGATAAATATGAAGTCTCTTAACAGATAGTAAAAAGGTATAGTTGACATTTAATTACATCACACTATCTCTCATGATTTAACCCTTTCCCCTACAGAAGCCACAAAACTGACACTTCCGGTTGGGTCCAAAAATGTTCCTTAACAGACTTTTTAAAGTCACTGTTTACAAGACACATAAAAGGGGAAGTCAATAAGTAAGTAACAAATTAATGGTTGTTTAATAAAAAAAAAAAAAAACAAATAAAGATAATACACATACATTGTCCCTTTATTTTTCAACATAATTTCCATAAACACTTGTCCCATCGTTTTATAAGTTCTCCTAAACCTGCTGCATAGAATAGCTTGCTATGTTTTTTAAACCACATTCTCATTTCAAATTCAACTTCTGCGTCATTAGTGAAATGTCTTTGCCAAGGTGGGTTTTCAGTGGACCAAAAAAGTGGAAATAACTAGGGGCTAAGTTGTGTGCTGAACCATGTGAGCACCCCATTGCAGCTGCTACAGAGTCAACCTGTCTACTATAATCACCTCCTCCACCCACTGAATAATATGCATCTGTTGCAATTTCAACAGGACTACCAGACTGGAGTTTATCAACAATTTTGGAGAAAATATTTTTAATCCAGCTATGCACCGCTTTATCAGATACACATTTGTCAGCATAAACAGAAAGCATTTCCTTATGAATGTTCTTTGCAGCAGCCCCTTTATCCCCCCCCCCCCACCCCCGAACCGCCCCATGCAAAAAAAAAAACCTTTGTAAGTAATCTGGTCTGTGTTGCGAATGCATATGCAACACCTAGCACTACCTAACAAATGGAGACATTAAGTTCGATTTTGCTGTCACCTAATGACACCTTTAGAAACCATCAGCTACATTTTTCTGCCATCCCATAACCATTTGCGACTTATATATTGACTTCCCTTATAGTTAATGCCAATGGTTGTGTTTGTGCCTGCTCAGTGTTTACAAGGTCATAGTATAAAAACATTTAAAAAACAAATACTATTTAGAGGGGTTTTTTGTGAACCAACTAGCTTTTTTTAAAGTCACTCTTTTTTATATATTTCTCCAAAATAGGAAAGTTAAAAATTAAAAATTGTTTTTTTTAATTTACTGGTGACCTATGTAAAATCGTTTCTGAAATTTGATGATACTGTTATAGTGTTCTCAAGGCAACAGTGTTAACATGCTTCTATATTCCTATGCTATTTCTACTATTAATATCAATTGTTGTTACAATAGACCGCATTTCCATATAGACATTATAACCAGCTAGCTCTTCATGGCAGCAATCAGCAGAAGTACTCTGGACTGGCTGCGTTCTTTGGAAGACTAAGCATGCATCAGAAAGCCCAATGTGCAGTGGCACTGATTGTGAAGATAACATGTGCTAAAGACGCTTACCCGTGACCTGTGGGTGTAATGAAGTAGAGACAACAATGAACTCTTGTGTCTGCACCTGAGCTGCGGTTGACTCTGGACTCGGCATTCAAGTACTCATCATACTTTCTATCAATAAAGTCAATGACAGGTGTCCAGCTGTCAAAAGTAATAGGTACACAAGTTAGAGAATAACAGAATGATATTTTCTATTCATAAAAACAGAAAGTGCTTCAAAATTCCACACAAGGTGGAGTTTTAGGAAAAAAATCAGCATGTGCCTCATATGTGATTAACAGTGGCCAAAAATTCAGACAATTCACTGTCAATAATTGAAGATGTTATACATGCAAAAGCGTAAAAACTACAAAGCATAAACAACTCCTTAAAACTTATGAAATGTGTATAACCTGCGTACAGGCATATCTGTCACTCTTATCAGCCTGAGAAATGTAACAGGTGAGAAGGTGTGTTTTCTCCATGTCAGTCTTCATCATTGCACCTGTTGAATTCTGGTTACCTGACACTTGAGGCTAACCCTCTCTCTGATATCTACCCTCTCTCTGATATCTACGCTCTCTCTGATATCTACGCTCTCTCTGATATCTACCCTCTCTCTGATATCTACCCTCTCTCTGATATCTACGCTCTCTCTGATATCTACCCTCTCTATGATATCTACCCTCTCTCTGATATCTACCCTCTCTCTGATATATACCATCTCTCTGAAATCTACTGATGTAAATGCCAGAATCCAACTGTAAACCTAGAAAAAGGTTTTGTTAACCCTAATACCTTTGTCTGAAACCCCAAAATACCACTGGATTTTTGGGGAGGACAAGATTCACCACATGTAAGTAAGGTAGGCTTCAGCAAGAGAGGCTAAGAAACATTAGGAGTATTGTACTGGGCATTACTGCTCCATTAGGACCCTTTCTCTTGGGCAGTGGGTTGGAGTGTTGACACCAACGGTGAAAACTCACACAGATACTACATCAATCTAGCCCAAATCCTGGCCAGCAGACATGTAAACAGCTGAAAGATGACATGGTTATATTCCAGTATTTCTCTACACAATGTATAAACTCCAGTAACAGTCTTGACCATTGTTTTCTGCCAGTGAAAATGGGACAGAAATCTTTGCAACACAGCCTTTATGAAGATGGTACTTTGGCACTGTCAGCGTCTGTGGTTTAGGCATTACGAATGCGTTTCGTTATGCCGGGATGCAGAGTTTGATTTTTTGCCTTGCATTTGTTTCGACAGTGGTATCAAGAGCCGACTGTTGAGAAAGAAATGGCAAACTATTTATCGTATAATTTGCATAGAAAAACCACAACAGTCAAAAAATGCTGGAACTGGTTTTACAACGTTCTGTAAAGGATAGGCAACTAACTAACTTTGGCACTGGACCAAGAGAATGGTTTCTAAACCAACCTCCCTTCAACAGATACAAACCTTGTCAGGCTCTAGATGGCCTGACCACCAATAACTGACACCTAAAACAGAGGGTTCTCAACCAACTCTACCACAAATTATTTCACCACTTACTATTGTCTATAGAATCCCCCAAACCTGGTATATTACCTAATCTCTCACCAGGCACTTCTATTTACCACATCAGCAAAACCTGACACATGACTCAGTCACTTACCAGTTACTATTGTCTACAGCATCCCCAAAGCCTGGTGTATCAACAACAGTCAGTCTCAGCTGGACTCCGCCCTCTTTCAATGTCACTTGAGTTGTGTCAACCTGTGAAAACAGTCCATTGATACACATTAGTCATACACAACAAAATGAGATAAACTGTCTGTAATAACTACAAAATGTGTGATTTCACAGCTATCACTGCTGAGGGTCAACCCATGTATCATGCTGATATTATTAATGTCCTCAGAGAAATGGGAAGGGTGGAGAACTTTCGAGACAGCAATTCCACATCACTCACTAGAATGAAAGACTTGGGAGTTGAGATCGGCATAGCCCTAAGTGAAAGACATACCGGGCATACAAAAAAGACTTATCAATCAACAAAGAACTGGCGCTATCATACACAGGACGCTGGGGTTCATACTGATGGAAGGAGCTCAGCACCTCTGGACATGTCTTCAGTGCAATGATCATATCCCAACTAACAAACTAACTATAATTCGTAAATCTTTTCCATCAATATTTCGCTTTTTGAATAGTTTGATTATTTCTTCATGTTTCACACAGTCAGATGCTTTCATATTGTCATTGTAGCGTAAGTAAAGATTGTATTTTTTACTTCTATAGCTCTTTCCGAAAGAGTCCTGAGGATGCATGTGGAATTGTTTGTACCTTTTCCTTCTATAAATCCAAACTGTTCTTCACTAATTTCTCATTTAATCTTGTTTCTTATTCTTCTGGTAATTATTGTCAGCAACATTTTTGTCACATGACTCATAAGACTTATGGTGCGATAGTCTTCACATTTTAAAGTGCCTGGTTTCTTTGGCAGAGCAATAAATACAGATTTTATTAGGTCATTAGGAATGTACCCACAATTATAAATGTCATTTAACATGCTGTAAAGGATACCTAACTAAATACCCAACTATGACTTCAACTGAGTCACTTAGTCTAGCTGCTATTTCTCTAGCACATCCATCATTCAAAACTGATAACCTCAGCAGTGACTAGTTAATGCAATGCTATGATGACTTTCTATAAGATTTCCCTAATCTTTTGACTGAGCATTGAAGTCTCCAGCTATAAAACATTAAGAATCAAAATCGGATCGCTGATAGGAATCCCATTTGCATTCATCTATCACCTTGTATGCCCCTGTTTAACCTACTGATGATGGCTCACGCTCCAGATAAATTGTCAAACCCTGTTTATCAGGTTCCAAAGAACTGGTGTACTACACATAGCCAAAATCTGCAAAAGTTGTCTGTTCCTTTCATTTACTCTGCTGACCTATGAGGCTGCTGAAATCATACATCAACTTCTGGAGTTCACTGTATAGGTTCTGGGGCCCCATTCTGTGGCGGGAGATAAATTTCAACAGTTTTGAAAGCTAACAAGAATGAACTTTAGTGCTAGTTTTTCCATCTCCGATAAAATAAGATTTCAGCTAAACTTGTAATCTCCCAGACTATACGTCATGTAAGACTATATATATATATCAAGTAGCAGGCCTGTTGCAGAATATTAACCTCCTTATGGCATGCTGGAAAACTACTTAGTCCCATGCCATCATCCTTTAAGCCTCAGATACTTTCATGCCCAGGATGCCCTTCATAATCTTGTCCCCAGTTGTGCTGGATGACTCCTGCTCCTTCTTGAAACAAAACCTTCTACTACCCTACTCAATGTTCACATCCCAAAGTATTTTTTTTTTTAAATTCAAAAACAGTTTTTGATCTTGACTGTGTCTCATGATTGACAGGATCAGCTGGTCAAAAGCCACTGCCATATGTGAGAGGAAGACATCTCTGCATACTTTACTAACATCCTGCTGTTTGTCCTTTGTCACCAATGTAAGTTTCTAATTCTGCTATCTTACAGTAAAAGAATGGTTTGAATGCTCAGATAATGCTTTACTATTTGCTAAGTTGGGAACGCGCCAACAACAAAACTAGAAAACAAAACAAAGAGGCCGATTTGATCGTCACTATAGCTATGTAGTTCATGCTTTGTATGACAGCTAAAATAATGTCTTTACTGTCTGTTTTACCAACTTTCTAGGTCGGTGTAGACAGGGGATCATGAGCCAGAGGATTTAGCACCACATGGCTAGTGCTGTCGCCACAGACTGTTCGGGTTAGGATGTTTAATTTTGCCCCCGACAGAACAAATCCATCACCTTACCGGGGGTCAAACCCGGGTCTCCCAGATGACAGCCCAACGGTGAATCACCCAGCCAACCACAACTACTACTACTATTCTGTTACTACTGCCACTGCTACCATGAGCAGATTTATCTTGCGGGCAAGGTGGGAGCTGTGACTTTAAGCTCCCATAGTTAACAGTTTTATCATCCCTTCCCCCCTCCCCCCAATCCACTGACTACTTCTCTCTCTCTCTCACCAAATGAATTTTTAAAAAATTAGTAAAGTGAAAAGCAAAGAAAAAAACACTATACTCATGAAATGAACACTATGGTAAACGACATAGCTTAATTGCAATGCAATGACACAAGAAATAATTAAATAAAAATAAATCAAAATCTATGATAATTCAATGTAACCATGCAATCAGAAAAAGTGGTATGCAAAATAGTCACATTTAATAACGACTGTGCATCCATCAACTTGTTCACCCACATACCTGCAGCCTTTAAAAAATTATGGTCATGTGATCACTACGTCATGCGCAATGGCGGTGCGTCATTTCATTCGTATACATTCTTTAAACAACTGTCTTTTTTTTTTATTGCCACAACTTTCAGTTCCAACATGTTTTTATTCTCACACCTTTACATTTCCATAAATATCTTTCAACAGCTTCATCAATTTATGATCTCAGACAGTTACATGCATATTTCTGAGGTCAACAGTTATTGTTCACTAACAAGCCGAAATAAAAACCCACGCTGGGTATGTTGTAATAAAAGAAAAATTGGAAAACAAAACCAAGATGCCGATTTGATAGTAGCTGGAGCTATGTAGTTTGTGCTTTGTGTGACACTCTTACACAAAAACATGCACCTATCTTATTGGAACCTTCTGTCAGAATTTGAAAGCAATTGGTGAAGAACTTTAGGAGATTACTTATAAATCACAAACGGACATGTTACATTTTTATTTATACAAATTATATAAATGCTCTGACATTTTTTAAGTTTCAGAAGTGTGTCTCGTAACTGTACCTTTAGAAGCCAATTTATGTAGCATTTCAAAATTCTTTACGTAACCAAGTTTTCTGAATGGTTCTAATAATAATATAACTCAATTCTCTCCAAATCTGTGTGGATACTCCTAGTTGTTAACACTCAAAGAACTGAAAGACTTCTTTTATTTATTTAAAATATACACACAGTAGAACCTGATTGTCCTTGAATGTTTCTCATGCTAACTCACCCCTCCAAGTTTTCATGGATGTTCCAAGTTGTTAACACTCCAAGAAACTATGGATGAATTTATTTTACCAAAGAATTTATCTCAACAGAGTCTTTGCCTGTTTCTAAAACAGCAGTTCCCGTATGTTTACCGTAACTAGACAGGGGCTGGAGTGAAGACTGACAAGCTGGTGGCCTGTCTGGGGAAGTTAAACTTTGTGCTACTGTTTACACAGAGTTAGCCAAGCCCACATAGATGCCATGTATTCTCTTCTATGTTTAAGCCCCCCCCCCCCCCCCCCCCAAAGCTGGGTCTACAGATTTAATATATTCTCCTCATTGTTTACTTCTCACAAACTGGGTCAACTGATGTGGAAAGAACTGTCAGAAATTGTTTTGAAAAATAAAAAAAGTGAAAAATTCTCTAACGCTGGAAAAAAGATATCTGCGAAGGAAGGATAAAACACTAGGAAATGAGTGGAAGCTAAGCTGATGTTTAAGTGAACTGTGTCAAGTCACATATATGATGAACATGTTCATATTATGTCATCATTAGAAATGTGAGTGAACTGATAAGACAAATAAACAGAGAAACAATAACTCCCTGTTGGGACCACAATTTTGTTTGTGTTAACTAAGTGTACCTCTTAAGTGAGTTAATAAAGGTTTACTGTAATGTGTTTTAAAAAATTTTCACATTATAGGCAAACACAATATCATCTCCTATATATAGGAGAAGATGAAGACGGAGCACGCATGGGAATGCCCTCAGTGCTGTGATGTCAATTCTTGACTCAACTCAACTCAACTCAACATATAGACAACAATACCTTGACAGTTTTCTGTATTCTGTGTGATGGGCCTGGATACTCAGCACTGTAGAGGTCAGTGAGAAACAAGGAGTTGATGAGGGTCGACTTGCCCAGCCCAGACTCACCTGTCAGACACCATATGGTCATTACTTTTACAAGCTGACCATTTATACAAATGACAATGCTACAGCAGATTGCATCCATTCATGTCTTTGTCGCACCCATGCATGTATTCATGGTATGAATGAGAAGTCACAAGGAGATCATTCACTTAATGTCATTTTTTTTTTAATGCTGGAATATTTTAAACTAAAATGTAAACATTCATCATCAATTTACAATTCTGCCATTAAGTGGGAGGAACAGTTTGTGATCCATTGTTAGATGGGCAACAATGGCTACTGTCATTCTGTGTCCATGTAGAAGCTCTTTAATGTCATCAGTCCCTCTTCTCCTAGGACGGCCTCTTGCTTTCACATCAGATCTTTTCATGTGTAGTGCCTGCACCGGTTGTTGGCTACATTTTTAATAGATGACTAAACCATCTGATCTATTTCTCAATGAATTTGCTGTATGGTGTTATTACCACAGTCTGATCATATCAATTTCAATATTTAACATTAAAAAACATATTACATATGAATACACATAAAGGCACTCCTCTGAATAACGGTCCCAAATTAACGAGGTTAAAAACATACACTAACAGGTCCTTAAAAGGTCATCTAATAGAAAAATTAAAAACTATGAACAAAAATATAAGAATGAGTGACACACTTGCCAATAATAGTTAATAGTCATATCTCATAATTGTGGCACAAAAATGGCAACCACTGCAGTTTATCATTCATCAATATATATAAGTCAGGAGGTCTAACATCTACTGGTGCCAGTTCATCAATTGCTAGAATGTTATTGCTAATCTGTGTCGGGACTGATGGTCTGCCTGTCATATTTGCCACAAATACATCCTAATTTTACAAATCATTGAGGCCCTGTTAGGGTCTGTTTTTAACCTGGATAATTTAAATGTGGCAGTTTATTGCAGCCCTGGTCAGGTAGCATAAGGTAGCACAAGCTACACAATCAATACAAAACAGGAAACTACATGTAACTTGTCTTTGCAACACTTTACGGCGTAAGCAGTAGGAAAAAGGAAGAAGCGGATTAATAAGAGATTCTTGGTTGAGTCTTTCTAAGTCATCTTGCATCAGATGTTATCTAAGTCATCTTGCATCAGATGTTATCTAAGTCATCTTGCATCAGATGTTATCTAAGTCATCTTGCATCAGATGTTATCAGTGTTCCAGACAAGTTAAACCAATTCTCTTGCCTGACAATAATCCCATTTTCTCCCTACATAACACTTTCAAGAGGTATACCAGGGTAGTATCAGCTGTAGTGTTTGTTACAGGTGCCCTTCTTCTTTTTCTTCTTCGGTTTGGTCTGCACACATCTCTGAATGTGCAGTTGGCACGGTGTGCTGTGGTTTACAGCTAGTTTGTGATATTTGTCGTTTACAGAGCAACACATTCAATTTCAGCAGACCCTTACTTAGTTATTTTTTTAAATACATACTTGTTAACCCTTTTGCACAGTGAATGCTTTAAAAAAAAAAAGCCATCAACCATTTGGAATTTCTGCAAAAATCCTAAAGAAAAATAACCATATTACACAGGTCACTAATAAATATTTTAAAAACCGAATTATCTAGATTTTTCTCTATAAAATGGAGTACAAAAAACCACACAGGGTAACAGGTGTCTTAATTATACATTCTTTGGCTGCTGGACAGGGTATCTAGCTGCTGCCCAAATGTCTGACTGTTCCTGTGTATGTATTTAAAAAAAAACTTTCTCACCATTGTTAAGATTCTCAGTCACAGTTCAGTTTCCTAGCATGACTTCAGTTAACCTTGTTTTAGGGTGTGACTCCTGAAGTCACAGAGGTTATAAAACTTTCAGGTAGCAGACAGGAGGGGATTAAACAGACAGATTTTCTGGAAAACTGCATATTATAAGTAATCACATACTTTCTAAACTACTCACCTACAACCATCAGTGTGAAGTCAAATCCACGCTTGACAGATTTGCGATACACCTGGTTTGGTAAATTGGCAAACCCGACATATCCCTCAAGATCTTTACGTATCTCAGCACCATATTTGCGATCTCGCTCTCTTTCCTTCTCTTTCTCCATGTCAGTTGTGTTGGAGACTGTGCTGCTGCTGTCCTCTTTCCTATTCAAGCGCTCCCGATCAACGCCTCCACCGTAGCGATTTGCAGTATTAAACTTTGCTGCAGGACCATCACCTCCAGCCCGGAAAAAGGCATCCCTCTTTGCTGCATTCACCTGTGAAATCAGCAGAATATGTGTTAATGAAGCATTGCTGACGCTCTCCATATTAGTAATCTGTCAAAAACACTCAATATGCCGTTTCCTTCTTCACAAATGTTACAAGCACAACTGGCCAACACTTAGATACTTTATACACATATGAACACATCTGTCTAACAACAGTGTTGCTTTTTAATTTAAAAGGAAATGCAAAAGTTAACTTGATATTGATGTTGGAAGTGAGATAGTATGCCTTTACATGAGTCAATGCGTGAGGTGAGTGGACAGCTTTCTTCCTCACTCAATCAATCAAGTGCCGTCTCACAATGAAGGTTGACTGCAATGGATCTCTAACACTTTCAGTGTGTCTTGTCCTAGTTATGCACACTTCCAAACTGCTGGTTGTTCATCTACCAATGTTGTACTTCTATTTGTATCATTGTCCACCGCTTACTCTCGTGCCTTCGACATGTCCCTCTAGTATGGTTTTTAATGTGGTTGAAATATTTCAAGACTTTTAACACCAATTCCTGCGAGCCGGTGAACTGCTTCGACCAGGGCCCATAATTCTGTTAAGACAGCACTGTCAAAGTTAGTGTGAGTATACACTTACAAATGTCTGTCATCAGGTCCAGTCCAGTCCAACCCAACGCTGCTCACCAAACAACAATCAATGACTAGTACAGTGTACCCAGTGCAGAGAACTCTGAGATGTCACTAACTTCAACACAAAATTTTGGTTAACTAGCCTTACGTACCAGGAAGTGATGGGACTTAGGGGCTCAGAGACCTTTTTTCACAGATGGGCTCAACCCCTTCTCCCTAGCTCCTCTAGAAAGTTTGCAAGAAGTGTAACCATGTATAGAAATTATCTTTTCAAGTATTGGTTTATATATTTTATATTATTTCAAATATGTTAAACTATTTGCTATTCATACTGCAAATACTTCTACTAACAATAATTTATTAATTTTTGCACATTAAAGCAATGCTTGGTTCCCTTTAAGACCCTACCCTAAAAGATTTATACAGGCGCCAAAGAATATTTTCTTTGTATCGGCGTCCCAGGTAAGTAACAGCTTACTCCATACAAGAAAGATATTTGGAGGTGAGACATAAATATGGCTACATGTTAGTTGCCTATCTTTTACAGGGCGTTGCAGAAACAACCCAAGAATGTTGTGGCTGTTGTGGTTTTTCTGTGTAAATTTACTTTCAGTAGTTTGCCACTGCCCCTGGACGGTCGGCTTCTCGATACCACTGTTGAAACCAACGCAAGGCTCGCAGCTGGGATCGAACCAGGAACCCCGGCATTGCGGAGCTCGTTCGCAACGCCTAAGCCACAGACAAATAAGGCTACATATTAAACTGTAAATATTTAATCACAAGACAGTATTGTGGCTACTGAAATGAGATTACCAGTAATATAATTGTTTAAACAATAAAACACATTAATACAATACCCAGTCATTTAACTGCCTCAAACTACCTGCCGTTCACATCATATTATAATCGACAACGCTTTGAAAAAGTTACTTATTATTTCCTGATACATGCACACGCAAAACTGCGAATTTCTTTCTCAATTTTCAATTCGTTGACGTCTCGTGATTTACCAGCGTCTGTTTATTGTCTGTTATTGTTGTAAATGTACAACCTTATTTATGGCCCACCATGTAAGTAACTTGAAAGCGGGCATAAGAGAGACGTACCTATCCGGTCTGGACTGGAACTATGTTAAGTATTTCCCTCAAAAGTTAATGGGGCCAGTTTCATTGGAGATTTGGACTCAGCCCACTACAACAAATGTGACCTACTCCACACGAGACACTTTATCTACCTACACTAACTATTCAATAACCGCGATATTTTACAACTGAAATCACTAGTGTCTACGTGATACACATTACACTTCACGCCGAGGCAGTTCAAAGTGGGCCAGGGACAGCGGACCAATTTATGTCACTCGTATTCATGGAAAGCATTTATATCACTGAAAACATTTACCAGCATGGACAGTACACCGTTACTGGAGACATACCAGCATGGACGTCATACCAGTACGAGTAGACATAGAGGCATGCATGCAGAGTAACAGATCGATAAATTAGTATCTATAGAGCTTTGTTATCAGACATCTCCACAAGCAGAACAATAATCTCAAAGAATCGCCATACACACATTAAAATCTTCTCAATTCTCTCCCGTTCGCTCCATATCTATCTATCTATCTATCTATCTATCTATCTATCTATCTATCTATCTATCTATCTATCTATCTATCTATCTATCTATCTATCTATCTATCTATCTATCTATCTATCTATCTATCTATCTCTCTGCCTGCCTGCCTGCCAGCCAGCCAGCCAGCCAGCCAGCCTGCCTGCCTGTCTGTCTGTCTGTCTATCTATCTATCTATCTATCTATCTATCTATCTATCTATCTAGCTACCTACCTACCTACCGATCTTCGTGTGTCTGTCTACCGATCTTTCTCTCTGTAAAAGGAAGCATTATTCAAGCAAACAGTATGTGTTTGCTCACTTCGACAGAACATAACGTCGATTCAACCTTCTCATTAACGACTGCCAACAAGACAGCGCTACCACTCCCCAGCCAGAGCCTAACGAACCTGGCTGTACCCCTGGTCTCATAACGAGCTGCTGGCAGATGGGCTGCACCTGGTTCTCCTCACGCTGCTAGACGAGTAGCACTTCGAGCCAAAACTGGCAGGATACCTGGGTTTTTCCCCCTTAATGACGTCAGGCCATTGAGCATACTTAGTCTGGTTACCATGGGAAATAACTTGGTCAGGACGTGCGTGTACTGGTCAATGTCACACCACGCTTATCTACATTAGTTGGTTTCACTCAATGTCTACCTTCACTCACTTAGTCGCTCCTCTTCTCTTTGGGGTATAGAGGTTTGCCAGAGAGATCGCCAGACTGCTCTTATTAGCATTTTTTTTTTTTAAATAGCTTTTTCCCATTCGAGTCCTCGGTCAGTCAGGGACTGACGGTTGTTGTCTTCCCAGAGGCCCCTGGGTCGCCTCTGTGGTCTGGACTCCTGGCTCTTGGCCTCCAGTGGCTGCCGTGGTGGATGATTCTCTCTCATTCTGCATACATGTCCAAACCATCCACTCGAAAATATAGGACCTGTATCTCAAGGTCATGACTTATTGTCTGACTGCCAACGTTGTCTCTTCTTGTCACTTGCATCACTTTCCTCAGATGCCTTATTTCTGATGCCTGAAGCTGGCTTTTGTGAGCTGTTGTCATTGCCCTTGACTCACACCCATAAATCAGGACTGGCACACAGGTACAACGGTATACTGCCATTTTTGTCCTCTGGCTAATTTATCTTTTGCCGAGGAACCCTCGGTTTGTGGCCAAGAAAAGTCTCCCAGCTGCTGCTTTCGAGCAGCCAACTCTGACCTGATGTATCCATTCTGGTCTTTTACAACTGCACGGTATTTAAACTGGCTGATCTGCTCCCGTGCATCTTGTCCCACCATGATCTGATGTTTCTTCTCATCTCTCTCGAGATCACCACGGTTTTAGTTTTGGAGATACTTCATTTTATGTCACCTATATATATATATATATATATATATATATATATATATATATATATATATATATATATATATATATAGATATATATATATATAGAGAGAGAGAGAGAGAGAGAGAGAGAAAGAGAGACAGATAGACAGACAGACGGTGGGTGGGTAGATGGATGGACGGACGAACGGCCAGATATTCAGATAAGCAGGAAGTAGTTAGATTGGGAGAGGAAGGGGGTGGGGGGGGGGGGAAGAGAAAGAGAGAGAGAGAGAGAGAGAGAGAGAGAGAGAGAGAGAGAGAGAGAGAGAGAGAGAATGGTTAAATAATTCATATAAACAACACATATTCGGGCGGTCATGTTTCGCAACATATAAACTCTGTATCGTGATCACCTTAAGCACAGGAACAGCCTTCCGGACCATTGTACCACCTCTACTTGACAACCTTTCCTTCTGCTGACCTGCCTCTAATACCATCGATCGTTCCAATGGTCACAGCGGCCCCCACAGACTTTGATCCCACACTGTGACGCAAACACACTTGATTACAACACGACTACAGAAACGTAGGAAAGGGGGAAGGGGGGGGGGGGGCTGCGTGGTCTCGAGGCATGGTGTCCGCCTCGAGTGCTAGAGGCTCTCCGGTAAGGGCTGGGAATTTTTCACCTGGACTTGGACTTCTAGTAATTCCCCCTGGTCTCTGGGTAGTCAGATTGGACGCCCGTGTCTATTGTGCACGTAATAAAATCTCTTGGCAGTTGGAAATCGAAAAGAGTAGCCTAACGGCGCTCACCGGGCAAAACTTGGAGTTACAAATCTACCTAAAGTATTTCAGGATCTTCGCCGGCGCTACAGAGCCTGTGCATGATGTTGTTTCGTTGTTTAAAACCTCAAAAACCTCAGAAACGTCAGCTCAGAAACATATGCAAATCTCTTCTATACTAAAACACAAAAGTATACTTTAATATAATGCAAGTCGGGCTCTAGAGAATTTAAAAAAAAAATCTTATACTGCATTTTCAACAGTCCAACTGTGATTCCCGATGTCCGACTTAACAGAGGCGGTTCTGAGTTGGGTTGTAACATTAAAAGGCTTCTATGTTCTGACTGTAAAAATCAGTCTTGCCAGAACAGGGCGCTTGACCTGATGACAATGACTGTAATATATTGAGCAGGCTAAAATATCTGAAAGCATTACACTTACCAACGTCAAAAGACGTTCAGTTATTTATTCCAATAATTATTCACAGTTCACGATATATATTTACTTTTTGAACAAGAAGAACAGCGGCTTTTGGAGCATGTGTGTGTGTGTGTGTGCGCGCGCGCGCCTGCGTATGTGTAGATTTCGAACCTGTAGATGGGTGTATAGTTATTTCCTGAACGTGTAGATAGGTGTATAGTTATTTCCTGAACGTGTAGATGGGTGTATAGTTATTTCCTGAACTTGT